TTTTTTCTCCACTAGGTCAGAGATATAGCTCCCACTCATATATAGATGATTCAACTGTTTGGTATATATACTCTATTCTTTTCCTAGTTTAATGATGCCAGATGATGCTGTATATATGTATCCACATAAAAGATTACCGCATGTTTGTTAAGAGATTCGCTATGGTCTGATGGTTTCCCGTGGCGAAACGCTAAGTGCATCCCTCTATTATGTACAACTTATACTTTGTATATATAAACTTTCGTGAGAGAAGGTGTCTAACATATATATATATAACATGGTTCACATATGACATTGATAAGTTACAGATAACTTTATTTAAACCATCTCAATATGCATGAGCAATGTAAGTAAATTATATGCACTTTCTAATACATCAACATTTAACTATAACTCAATTTTTCAACATAAAGTAGTTTCTGTTTCTCCAAATATTTTAGTATAATGAAAAAAATATGACAATGGAATATTTTTGAAGCCATAAAAAATGAATGAACCCGAAAGTTGTCTACAAAAAATTTTATGGCGAACTTTTTGATTGATCCAGCGAAAGCATTCAAAGAAAGTTAAGAAAAAATTTCAAAAAATTAACTTCGCGAGATAATCGTTCGGGAATACCGCCAAAGTAGTTAGAAGAAAGTTCTGAACTAAACATGTATGGGGCACTTTTTGATTGGTCCAGCGGATGCTGAGCTACAGTAAAAAACAAATTTGTAAAATATTACAAAAAATTAAATTTGCGAGATTATCGGTCGGGAATACCGCCAATAAAATAGGGAAAAAGTTTTGAACAAAAAATGTATGGGGCACTTTTTGATTGGTCCAGCGGATGCTGAGCTACACTCAAATCAATTTCGGAAAAAATTTTGAAAAATTAAATTTTTGAGATAATCGCTCAGGAATGCCATAACTGTCTTTAGCAAAAAGTAGCGAACAAAAAATGTATGGGGCACTTTTTGATTGGTCCAGCGGATGCTGAGCTACAGTAAAAAACAAATTTGGAAAAAATTACAAAAAATTAAATTTGCGAGATTATCGGTCGGGAATACCACCAAAGTAGTTAGAAGAAAGTTCTGAACAAAACATGTATGGGGCACTTTTTGATTGGTCCAGCGGATGCTGAGCTACAGTAAAAAACAAATTTGTAAAATATTACAAAAAATTAAATTTGTGAGATTATCGGTCGGGAATACCGCCAATAAAATAGGGAAAAAGTTTTGAACAAAAAATGTATGGGGCACTTTTTGATTGGTCCAGCGGATGCTGAGCTACACTCAAATCAATTTCGGAAAAAATTTTGAAAAATTAAATTTTTGAGATAATCGCTCAGGAATGCCATAACTGTCTTTAGCAAAAAGTAGCGAACAAAAAATGTATGGGGCACTTTTTGATTGGTCCAGCGGATGCTGAGCTACACTCAAATCAATTTCGGAAAAAATTTTGAAAAATTAAATTTTTGAGATAATCGCTCAGGAATGCCATAACTGTCTTTAGCAAAAAGTAGCGAACAAAAAATGTATGGGGCACTTTTTGATTGGTCCAGCGGATGCTGAGCTACACTCAAATCAATTTCGGAAAAAATTTTGAAAAATTAAATTTTTGAGATAATCGCTCAGGAATGCCATAACTGTCTTTAGCAAAAAGTAGCGAACAAAAAATGTATGGGGCACTTTTTGATTGGTCCAGCGGATGCTGAGCTACAGTAAAAAACAAATTTGTAAAATATTACAAAAAATTAAATTTGCGAGATTATAGGTCGGGAATACCGCCAATAAAATAGGGAAAAAGTTTTGAACAAAAAATGTATGGGGCACTTTTTGATTGGACCAGCGGATGCTGAGCTACACTCAAATCAATTTCGGAAAAAATTTTGAAAAATTAAATTTTTGAGATAATCGCTCAGGAATGCCATAACTGTCTTTAGCAAAAAGTAGCGAACAAAAAATGTATGGGGCACTTTTTGATTGGTCCAGCGGATGCTGAGCTACAGTAAAAAACAAATTTGTAAAAAATTACATAAATTAAATTTGCGAGATAATCGTTCGGGAATAACGCCAAAGTAGTTAGAAGAAAGTTCTGAACAAAAAATGTATGGGGCACTTTTTGATTGGTCCAGCGGATGCTGAGCTACAGTAAAAAACAAATTTGGAAAAAATTACAAAAAATTAAATTTGCGAGATAATCGTTCGGGAATACCACCAAAGTAGTTAGAAGAAAGTTCTGAACAAAACATGTATGGGGCACTTTTTGATTGGTCCAGCGGATGCTGAGCTACAGTAAAAAACAAATTTGTAAAATATTACAAAAAATTTAATTTGCGAGATTATAGGTCGGGAATACCGCCAATAAAATAGGGAAAAAGTTTTGAACAAAAAATGTATGGGGCACTTTTTGATTGGTCCAGCGGATGCTGAGCTACACTCAAATCAATTTCGGAAAAAATTTTGAAAAATTAAATTTTTGAGATAATCGCTCAGGAATGCCATAACTGTCTTTAGCAAAAAGCAGCGGACAAAAAATGTTTGTCGCACTTTTTGATTGGGCCAGCGGATGCTGTGCTAAGTCAAAATAAATTTTGGGATTTTTTAAAACTTCGAGATAATCGTTTGAAAATACTGCCAAAGTCTTAATTCGTGAGTCTCGAACTACAAATGTACGTATTTTGCAGATATATATGATCGTTAGTTTCAGAAGACAGAAACAATTGCATAATTCATTAATCACTATTTCTCTTTTTTAGTTTTTTTTCTCTACACACATTTTCTAAAGGAAATATCACTTAAAGAATGGATATAATGATCCCTTAGCAAAACTCAAAAAAAACCACAAGGGTGGATGATATCACTCAATGGAGTCGCTTAGCAATAAAAATATTGATGATCCGGTTCCGGCCGCGAACAGGACAATCAACTAATTATTCACCAACCACACGCATGCCGGATATATAATACGTACATTCAAAGCACACGCAGGACACGCGTCGTATATATACACCACATGAGCTCAATAAATGAGCACGGATGTTTTGTCAACTTACATTTCGATTCTGTTTTTAGATAAATGACCAACTTATTCATAGTAGTACAATAAGGGGAGATGAAAAAAAATTAAGTGAATTGATAACTTTGATTAGCTGGCATTTAATAGAATTTATATCATATATCAAAAATTTGTTTTTTATAATAAAATTATTATTTTACAAGTATTATTTATTGTTCGGAAAGTATATATGTTTGCCTTATATATTTTAGAATAAAACTAGAATGAGATTTTCAACGAAAAAGTGAAAAAAAATATTTAGCCTATGTCAAAAGGTTTTCTTTACACGCATATTTAATTAGTCTAATTAAAAGTTTCATTAAGTTACTTATGAAAATGATAATTTTGTTAAGTGGAATATTTTGACATGTAGCATTAATATTTGACACAACAATTATGGTTTATTAAAATTTTAGACAAATGGAATTGAAAAAAAAATGAAAATATTCTCTTAAATGATGTCAATTTAGATAATTAAAAATTCTATTAAATATTCGCTCAAATCAGTGCGGATAAAATTTCTATTACATATGAATATTCGTCTGCATGCAAATTTCATATACTCGTTTAGATATATCAATTATATTAATTATCTGTCAATTAAATGAAATTTAAAAATTATTCAACGTCCTTATTTTACATATTTTCTAATTAGGAAAAAATTGTGTTTTGTACGTGAAATTTTTAAAAGGTCGTTATCAGAATTTTAGAAAATTTTCAAATTTTTTCCATACAGTAAAAATTGAATTTATGTTTTAATTTATATATTACAAAACGTAAGAAACGAAAAGTTACTCTTTTATACATGAAAAGAAGAGCAACAGTAATAAATCAGTGTGAGTATAAGTCTTATGTACTTGAAATTGTTCGCATCTCGACAAAGAAGAAGAAGGTTATGTTGCGTTTGCTTTGGGAGTAATTCGGAACTGCTTTTCCATTTGTGAGGGCGGAGGAAAAGGAGGGAAATGCGCGCACGATGGAACGTTACAATACAAAGCGTGCATGTGCATATATATGTGTAAACTCATACACTATATGGCACATATACATTATACGAATGGCAAAGTGTGGGATGTATATAAGATATACTCGCGGGTACACTGACAAATGACGCGTGGCGACGTCCAGGCACGCGACGCCTAATAATTGACGTTACCGTGACGTCACGTGTCGCGCTACAAAACTTTCTCTTCACATATATATACACTCAGAAAATGTGTGAATTCAAATTGCTAATGAAAACAAGCAAAACACATTTTAACTTGAACAAAGAAAAAATTCACGATTTATTGAATTTCCTAATCGTCAGATGAATTCGTTCTGATCTATATATAGGTTATAGACAGAGATTTCGGAAAATTTGATCAATTTAAACAATAAAATTGTTCAATACTTCTTTTGTATTCAACTAATTCATTTCAAAAATTTAGTTACTGATTAATTTTTTTGCTTTACCTGAGACTATCATTGCTAAGTGTAAAATTTTTAGCTTCTAGCTACCGGACGTGGGGGTTTCATTATTCTTTTGGGACAGCAAAGTGTGCACATATAACAGTTTCGTAGTACAATATCGGCTGATTGGAAGTCGCGTGGCGATGGCAATGAATTCGAACGTGAAGTCACGTGTCGTGACCAATGTGACGCTTCTATGGACGATGCCCTCAAAAGTCACCACGCGATTATCCCGCCCGGAATATATTCCCTTTATACCCCCTCTCCAACCCAATATACGAAGTTGGCGTCAACTTTTTGACGTACACGAACAATTAATTTGAGGGATCTAACTTTCCGCTTCCACTTACAAAAATATTTTTTTTTTATCGCACTCTCTATACTTATGTATGAATTATATAAATATAATATAAATATTTTTAAATATATCTGACAATATCTATATAGAAATGTTATTACCATTGAAAAAATGGTATTCTGTCAAATAAAACATTGTTTAAAGTACTTACCGATTGTTGTTATTGATCCTCCTTGATTTTCCATGAATAGTTCTCCTTTCCGATTATTCTTTCTTCATCAAAATCCATCCTTGATTGATCCTTGTTTCTGTAATTAAAATAATAATAATTAAAAAAATTTATTTATATTTTTAAATTTATAGCGTTTTTCGATTGATAAAAATTATATATATATATATTTGAAGCCCTCAATGAAAACCATCATTCACGAAAGGAATGGAAAAGTTCGAACACCCACATCATCCGGTAATAGTAATGAATTAATTGCAAACAGGTCGCGTGTACGGAAGTAGTCGAATTGTGTTCACTTCCGGTGAGATTCTAGCTATATACTCTATATATATATATACCAATAGCGCGAAACGTTTCCAAAACCACGGACTTTTCGATACGAGGATAATGTTCATTGAATGCTTTCCATTGTTCTGGATAATATTTATTTCAGTTGATTCTATGAAGCGAATAAAAGCATATGCTGGTCACAAGAACAAAGATACCCTAAATCTTCAGAAAGCTTTTACCGCAACCTTTATATATATATACTTTGTAGCGATTTTTGCGCAGTTTGATTTATTTTCTCAAATGCGTTTTGATATATTGACCGAGTGACACATTTCAGATTTATATTTATAAATAAAAATTCTAAAAATTTAATTTAAATTAGTGAAAATTTCTACTAATTTTAATTAGTGAACGAATTTTCAATAATTTAAAAGAGATTTTAAAGTATAATACAATGAAACAAAAACTAGTCATTTACTTGAAATTTAGGGTGTTTTTTTAGGTTATATTAAACTTCAACTAATGGCTCATAGTTGGCGCACGCTACCTTTCTCACAGATAACTACTTTTCCTATTTTAATTCAAATTAATTAAAATAATTTAAAGGGAAATTTTAATGAATCGTAATTTTCTTTACGTTTTTAAATCGTAAATTATTTCCTTAATAAAACCCAGATTAACTAATCCATAATTGAAATATCAAAATATTTAATTATAATTTCTACAAAAAGAATTGCTCTTTTTTTGAGGGGGGAAAAAAAACTATCACCTGGTGATGACAACAATAAAAATAATTGATAAGCAAAACAGTATACTAACACACACATATACAATACTTAGCAAGACAATTATGTCGAAAATGAGCATACAACGAGAGTCTAAAAGTAGATATATCACCAGCCGTGAAATTAGACAGTTCTTCAAATACAAGAGGGGGGAATATATATGAACAATGGCGTGCAGATTTGTTGGAGGCATGCGTTTCTATTGAACAAACGATATATATATATACCTTATACTGCACTTATCATCGGCACAATCTCTTATCAGATTCATTTCCGCGGGGGTGGTGTTTCAAAAAAGAGTATAGTCGTAAACTATGAAGAGAGGGAGAGGATGAGAGAGGGTGTTAGAGGCGCATGCCATATGGTATATATAAAGGGGCAGCTGCAGAGAGTCGATCACGTGTGTATCTTTTAACTTTACTGCCATAAGAACACGCTATTTCTATACTTGAGGTGTGGTTATTCTTAATTATTGCACGTAAACGGAGGATGATACAACATTTTAATAGAAATTCATTATACTCGCACGCATATTGTCTAATCCTTTCGAATATAATTTTAATCTTCAAAATTTGCCAATCTGGTATTTTTAATTACTTTCCAATAGTATTGACCTTACAAAAATATTAATTTTACTATTAATTTTATAAAAAAAAAAAAAAAATTAATAAATACACAGACACTTTTTGTATTATATTGTAAATTCCCAGAGTTCGGACATAGGAAATTAGTGAAGAGTAATTTGAATAAATGAACTGACGTGGCGTGACGATGGAATTATGGCATCATCATCTATTCTATTGATTTTACTTATATAAAAAGTCAGGTCTTTAATATATATATATATAGTGTTATCGCACCCAACTATTTTGCTTTAACTTTGCCTCGACCTAATCAGCCCTTAACCGTGTGTTCAACCCCCTGTCAGCCTTTTGCGGTCAGTTAGTCAGACGTGCACGCGATCCACGCATTGACTTCTCCTGCACGCGTATATACGTAATCGCTCTATACGCATTTATTAAAATTATTCGACGCATCCAACTGTATCTCTTTTTTTATACTAAATATAATGTATATGATGGGTCATTTTGTGTCATCATCAGTTTTATACTTTTTCATGACTTCATAAAAATCCAAACATTATATATTATTTGTATATTTATTAATTTTAAAATATTAATAAATATTTATTTATTCCAGTGATGATGATTCGTCAAAATTTCACTTTAGTCGCGTGTGATGAATATAAGAAAAAATAATCTGAGGCAATCTGTATTTTTAAAATATATACATTTTTATAAAATTAAAAACTCAAAAAATCAGAGACACACGAATTTTTTATAAAGCAATTGCGGTGATTCAGTAACGGTATAACGGATTGATAGTGAATTGGCCCTTCAATGCCGACCTATAATTATGAAAAGAAGGACCACTTAGCAAGTTGCTACAACGCACAAAAAAGAATAAGATAAAACAATGACCCGCCTTTATGGAGCTTCGTCAGCTCTTATAAACGCTACTCCTATATATATATATTGTCAGTCACAAAAAAAGAACCAAAAAATTAAATTCTCACTCGTTGAACAATAATAATCATTTTAATCTATTAATCTCCGATTGTCTATTAATTTCTTATTATTCAAAATTTATTATAGAAAATATTTTAATTCAAGTATATGTATACGTCTATAAGAGCGCAAAGTAATATTCTTTTATTAAAAAAATAAATTTTTTTTTTTCCACATATATAACAAATTTACCGCAATTAAATTGTGTATTATTTTTGAGTTAAATATAAATGTATAAATGTCACTTTATCCAATATTTTATATATATATAATATTGCAACTAAGTAATTTGAACGCCATTAAAGATCTCTTAACATGACATGTCTTGAATAAATAAATCAAAGAATGTCACTCACAATTTGCCAAATAAATGGAAAGTCATTCTGAATTGTATGAATCTCGAAAGAATAAAGTTTTATATACTTTTGATAAAAGTACTGAATGGTACCTTAATAATATTAATGAACTCTTTATATACAACGGCATATATATATATATATACATATATGTAAAAAATGAAATTAATAACTCTCTCTCTCTCATTATTTGTGCATTAGTATAAACACATTCATTAAAATATAAACTGCTACTTTCTGAAAATCCTGAATTATTTTAATTTATGAAAATGGCACTTTAAGAATAAGTCATTCTAAAAAAAAAACCTTAATGAATGGACCAATACAACGGTTATTTGTGAGAAAAGCATTACAATAAATATTTAATTAAACCAAATAGAAGATAAATATAAAGAGTTAAAAAAATATATTTAATGTTAATGACAAGGATAATTTTAAATTGATTCTAACTGACAACTTCGGGAGATGAATTCGATATAAGTATATAACAAAGATATATATACAGATATATTCAACACTGCATTCTAGAGAATAAGGCGCAATTCCTTCGAGAAATTCTATAAATTCCAGATCAACATTCCACATATACTTCTTTTGCAAATATTTTAAATTTAAAAATTTTTAAATATGTAAATAAATTTGTTACAAGTTAAATTAAAATTTTATTTTTGCTAAATAAATTTTTTTTACTTAAAACAAATAAACAGTTATTTGGCTCTGAGACAAATATATTTTTATTTATACTTCAAATAAATTTCATTTGTTTCAAATAAACGGTCAAATTTGCTCAATTTACTCAAGTTTGCTCTACAATTTTCTCTAGAAATTTTTACGGAAATGCAAATAAGATGAGGAGTAAGATTAATTTTCAATATTTAAATAAAAATTCGAAATATATATAAAACAAATCTATAATGCTTTTTTTTCTATATAATACATATATATGTATTTACGTTTACGCCTTCATAAAAGTGAGATCCACAGACTTGCGCGGACAGAGCCTATTGATCTGGTGTTCCCAGACTCGCCTGAATTCGCGACTCTCGCGCGCCTGAAGATAATGTTTGAATAACAAGCAGAGGAATCAAGATTTAAAGGATCATACAAAAACGCACCTATATGTCACAAAACTTCTTCATACTAAATAAATTTAATTCGTTAATGAGACAATTATTATTTAAATATATATATATACAGAAAAAAAAATTTAGTGCACATATACACTGAAAAAAAATTATTTAATTCAAATATATAATTACTTGAATATTATCAAATAAATATTTTCTTGAACCAAATAATTTTTATCTAAGTCAATTAAATTTTATTTGTTTCAATATTAGAGAAATTGGTTTAAACTTTATTTGATTCAATAATAAATATTTGATAAAAGTCAAGTAACGAAGTAACCGATTATTTGAATCAGATAAATTTTTTTTTCATATGTACATACGAAAGAAATCCGTAAATATATTGTAGTAAATTTAACTATCTTTGTTAAAACAAATCGTAAATAATAGATTGATTTAACTATGGACAAATTTGTAAAACTTACAAATCTTTTGTTAAAATTTGAAATCTTTATTTACTATTTGGTAAATTTAATGTAAACCTGTAAATAAGATATATATCTTTTAAATATTTAGCCAAATACAACAAAATGCCAATAAATGATTTTCAGCTATTTAGTGTGTTGAATAAACATAAAGTAAATAGCGATAGAAGGCATCAGGTTTTCAAAAGTGAACTTGAGATAAAGGAGGCATCGAAGGTAAGGTCGAGAGTGATAAAGAAGAAAAAGAAGCGAATCAGCAAAAGGGAAGGAGGAGGACATGGGTTACAAGATGTTAACCAGTTCGAATGTTCGGGCGGGCCAGTTGTAAAAAAAAAAAAAATTGGGACACATAAGGATCCAGCACGTCAACCAGGACAGAGAGAAGGGCAAAGCAGGCGGTACAAAGAGTGAATAGAGAGGGGCATGATGGGGAGAAGCTTTTAGCCAGGGTAGATGGTGCTGCGATAACGACCAGACCAGGCGTACCCAAGTGCAGAGTGCGATGATATATTCTATATATGTGTAGCATACAAAATGTACAATATATATACTATATAAATTCAATAACTATATATATATATATAAATGCATTGTACTCTTCATGCATCAAATTTTTCTCTAAACAAATATAAAAATCTATAAATGTATATATAAACATCTATGCCAACATAATTTTCAAATTCAGTAATTGTTTTAGAATTTTCCATATAAAATAGAAATTTTTTACAGAGGAATATGCGACACTAAATTTCCAGGACGGAATCGTAAGTTTTACAAATGGTATGTGAAATGTATACATGTATCTATTATTTGCCTCGCTGATGGCAATCCCGTTTTCTAAGTGATAAACTTTCTTTACCAATAATATATATAAGAATTCTCCAAGAACTTTGATTCTTAGGGAAAGTAAGAAAATTGCACCTATATAGAACCATATCGCTTTTATTGTCATGAGAAGCATGCGACTTGAGTATTCAATTAATTAAACTTCTTCAATTAATCTAAAATAGAAATCCTCAATTATCAGAAATTCCTATGGAATTCAATTGTCTACATTCTATCAGTCTTTTAAAAGACTGATTTTCAAACTATAATTGATCGATTAATTTTTAATAGAATTATAAATATTGACTATATACCATATATACTCTAAATCTGAATCAAATAACTGAGTATAGCTAAAGACCTCGATGACTATTTTAGATACACTTAAAGAATAGATCATATTTATGAAATTGAGAATGTCTTAAAGGAAACTAAAAAAAATATTTCTCTTATTAGCCTTGGCTACCTGAGAGGTTGAAAAGCCATAAGATCATAAAAGCTGGCGCCAAGTCTCAAGATACGCGTGCATTTCAATGGTTTAAAACTTAAGATAGCAACGGACATGATCCTTATTTTTTATATATTCAATTTTTGACGTTCGCTTGTCGTGAAGATATATATACGGGAAATAAAAAGCAGATAAAAACGTTACTTCTTCTTTTTTTATTTAAAATTTTCTTTTTTTTCTCAACAATCTTTATTTTTCATCATGATAAAAAATTTAAAATAGAATGAAATGCAACTAGAATTTTCTGAGTTAATGTCCAAATTTTAGGTTAATTGTTTTCGGTTAAGCCTTTGATAAAAAAAAAAGAAGAAGAAAAAAAAATAACCCATGACTGCGACTAGAAACAAGAAAATAGTTCTCGTGTCCTTGAGAATTCATAGTTTGTTTACCTGATGGACCTAATTCCTAAAGCTGCCCTCATTAGCGTGGCTTACATCCATGGTTTTCCGGAGCATACTCAGAAAGCACCCTGCGGGGTCTTTCCGGGGGAATAAGGCTACCGGAACCAAACGGAAAATTGAGTTATGAGTTCGTTTTACGTCACTAAATTTCACGCGTATTGTAATTTTTTCGAGAAAAAAATTTTTTTTTTTAAACTCCATTATATTACTCCCCAGAGATGATTAATAATGACACAACTAATATTGCATTATATCGTTATTATTTAAACCGTAAATAATAAATTATTTTGCTAATATAGGGATATGGATAGCGAAGTTAAATAATTTGGTTCAGCGTATAACTAAAATGAAATTCCGAATAAATATTTCGAAAAAATGAAGCTATTTAAGATATGCTCTATTGTCTTAGTCATATTTAATCTGGTATTATAGGAAGAAAAAGAAGAAGCGGGAGCCTGAGCAAACTAGACTAGAAAAAGACATAGGTCGACCCCTAGGAGGATTAAGAACCTCTTCCAACTTTGATGGCGGTCTGGCGCCTCCAAAGGCAGATTGACCTTCATGTTTTCTAACACATCTATATTTCTTTGAGAAGTTTATAAGTACCACGTATGCCATATATATATATATATATATATATATCTTTTTTCAATGATTTTCAACTTCAAAGAAGAAAATAAACATCAATACTATACAAAACATACATTGTAAAACGAAAGGTATTAATTTAATACCAACTTTAGGTACTAAATTGCCTATTGGTTCTATTTTAATACCTAAATTGATACTATTTTAGTACCTTCTTTTTACAGTGTAGACATATTTTTCTAAATTAATAAACTAAAAAATTTAAACAAAAAAATATATTCCGCAGATGCGAGAAAAATATACCGTACACGAGAATAATGTTAGAGGAAAAAAGAAATCCATTCGCATGAGTTGTTGAAACTTTTTTGTGTTCACTCAACTGTATATCTAATATGTTGAAGCTAATCCGCATTTCGGTGAAAAGTTGCAAAGACGCATGAAGGAGATTTAAAATTTGAATTTAGCCTCATTTATTGTCATATATATTGCGCTTTTTGTATAACATTGCTATATATTTATAATTTTACTTTTGTATTTTTTTAAAAATATTTATGCATCTTATTAAATATTTTAATAGAAATATGAAGTGAATGTGTAAAATAAAAATTTTAAGTTAAATATAACCGATAATATTGAATATATTTTTTTTCTATGTAAATATATAGGCACTTGAAAGATATATATATTTGACTATGCGCGGTTATATGTCCAGAGAGAGTGAAGATGATCAAGAGGAGAGGCTATAGAGAATTTCTTAAGCGGCTCAACTCGTATAAGAGCATATTATACATATAAATAAACACTATACATGAATAAAAGCCGACAAAGCTTTATATCACACACCGAATGCACATATAAATATCTGATGTACTTTTTTTCAGCCTCTTTTATATAAAAGATTTCATGTTATTTAAACTCTCCTATATACACTATTATAGCTTCTTTTATATTCATCAAAATTTTCTAAATTTAAATTTTACTATTTTATCTCCGGACCCATATTTTGGGTTGTGAAAAAAAATTTTCTGTTTATCACAACGAATTCATTTTTACCTATATATATATATATATATTTTTGTAAGGGTTAGTTTTACAACACGTTCGGTAAATATTTGATCGCAGTAAATATTTGTCGACAATTTGACTTTTCCACGAACTTTACAAAAAACAAAAATTAATAGAAAATAGAAATGATTTTTTAAAAACTCACCTAAATTGGATTATAAATATCGATCTGCCAGGAGATCAATCAGGCACACACACTACGGGTTTCGATCTCTTTTTACTCTTTATAACTGCAAAATAAAAAATTTGAATGTTTTATATATAGCTTCAGATTATAACATGTATATAAACTAGCTGGCTTTACATATAATAATTTGTTTTAAATTTAGCATGCAAAAAGTGCTGCAAAAACCTATTAAAAAATAAATTTTTAAAATCAATTTAAAAAACAATTTTCAAAAATCCATTAGTTAAAAATGTAAAAAACCGAATTCTGTATTATCTATAAATTTACTTGATTTTATTACTTTGGCACAATAAATATAGAGCTAAAAAATTATATATCAATCAATCCAAGTAAAAAATATAATTTTTATAAATATTATTCCGAGACATTTCGAAAGTTCTTTCCGAATCAATCCGATTGATTCTGCAGCTGAATTTCAATCTTTTGGAATCCTCCTGTTATATGCTACATTTTGAATGAATCCGAATCCGTTTCCAAGACAACTGGATTGATTCTAATAAATAAAACAACAGAATTCAAAAGGATTAAAATTTAGAGTCAGAATGAAACGAATTTGGAAATAGCACAAAAATTTAGATTCTGATAAATTCTGATTGTCTCGGAAACAAATTTTAGAATACCTCGAAATGATGCGTATATCAAAACTGATTGAATATATATAATATCATTCCGAAACTTTCAGCAGGGTAAGCATCAATTATATCTGCTTTACTTCAACTTCAAAGGGGTGCGATTTTTATAGAATTCTATTGGGACTTTAAACCCTTGTTTAGTCTAATATTTTGCTGATATAGAGAAAATCATGTAAAGATCACCGTGAATTTATATATTTTCTGTCCGGACATTTTTGTATATTATAAAAACAGATATTTTCTATAAGCTTTACAGGTGAACATTATTTTCAAGATTATACAAAACAACCATAGAAATTTTTTCTCCTCTATGGAAAATAAGACAATTATACTATATTATACCCTACACTGATGAAAAAAAATTCTAGTTAGAATAACCAGAATTCTGGTTAGGGTATATTTAACATTTTGATTCTGGTTAGGTTAACCAGAATTCTGGTTATTTTAACGAGAATTCTAGTTAATTCAACTAGAATTCTGGTTAACATAACTAGAAAGTATAATGTTAAATATAGCCTAACCAGAATATTTTTTTCAGTGTACAGCAGAAAAACATACATGTTTTATGTTTTTTCTGTGTAAATGTATACTTATGTTTTTCTATACTCTCTAAATTCAAATCTGTATATTTTACTGAAGAAATAGGTGGAATTCAGCAACTGGAATCATTTCAGTAAGATTTCCTCTGAAATTCACGTCACACATTTCACTGAAAATTAGTAGAATTATTACATGATTTAAACTGCATTATCATTAATCGGTAAAACAGATTTGACTGCTTCAATCAGAAAAGAATTTTACTAATTTTTAAGTGAAGACAGAATTCCGGTGGAAATACTGAAGTAATTCGGTTTCTAAATCCCAACTATATATATTTCATCAGTGAAATCTCACTGATGATTCAAATTTAGTGATTATAGAGGGCATAGTATAGTACGAATTTTTAGATCCCTCATTTTTACAATAATGATATAATTTTTCCTAAACAATTTCGAAATATTGCCATCGAATTGATGACAAACAAAGAAGAGCATAATATAATTTCTAAATTTCCTTAGTCCTCGCATATTTAGGTATATATATTTCCAGCATCAGAGGCAAAATCCTCAGGAATCGAATCACCACAGCGTGGCACCGGGAGTTAGCGGGGGGTAAAAGTTACTCATGAAGAGAGAGAGAGAGAGAGAGTACCGAGTGGTGGTGTGTGGTTGCCGTGGAGTCGCTGAGGACGGAGGGTGCTGGAGTAGGTTGATCTGGAGGTGGAGGTAGAATCGATTAGGGTGTCGGCCATTTTGTTAGCGGATCTCCCCACGGATCCAATGGGGGATCCGTGGAGGCGTGGAGGCAGGAACGCGACGCCGACGGTGGAATGGATGTGGACAAGGGTGTTGGAATCAAAAGGAGGGGTGGGGGGGTTTTAGCTGAAGGTGGGGACCAACACTGTTAGGATGGGTGTGCTATGCGAGAGCTATAGCTAGCCTTAACGTGAAAAACCTAACCAAGCAGTCAGTGCCTCTTAGGGCCCCGCGCCGACTGTTTCGTTGGGGTTGTTTGCGTTTTGTCTCTCACCTCTCTCCACTCCTCTCTTACTCTCTTCGTATATACATATAAGTGTCACAAAAATTTATCCCCTCCCCCCACCCCTGCGTGTGTGATTTTAGAACACATATGGAATAGATTAGAATATCGCGAGGAGCAGAAGAGAGGATATGGAGGAAGATAGAAGAGAGGCAAAAAAAAAAAAGAAACAGGAGCTATAAAAACAAATAAATGATGAACATCTCTTTGATGTAAGTTCAAAAAGAAAATTAAGTAACAAAATAGTTGAAATTTAATAAAGTGCAAAGAAATATTTTTCAAACAAACCAGGATTATGACAACAGAAACGTGGAATCATTATTTGTGATTTATTAACAGTGACTATGTATATTTATTCGTTTGTTTGGTGTTTATTTTTGGATAGATTATTAAAATAGTGAATGTGAGATTTTTCGAATAATCATATATATATGTATAATAACGGAGGAAATGAATTTAAAGTGATAAGGTGATTTGTTAAAATTATAAATAGCTGGTGAAATTTTATTGGAAGGATATTTTAATAACGACAGTGATCCACGGCTACTGGAATTATAATATTGGCGGAAAAAGTAGAGAAATTTAAAGGGTGGCTCTTCCGACGGGGAAAAGAATCAGTCAAGATTGCTCGAAAGTTAACGTGTGGAGTGCGCAGGGACGAAAGAGCTATCGAAATAGGGGGCCTGAGCGTGATGCAACGACCGGGCACTGGCGGAGGGCCCGGGCCTCTCGTGCTTCAGGGCCCTCCAAGGTCCCTGAAGATTTCGCCTGTTAATCTCAAAGATGAGCCTGGAGATCTCTTATCTCAAAGTATGTATTGAATTTTAAAAATTCTTCAGTGTGGCAAAGATTTTAAAAATATTTATACCTTAAAATGCAAGGACCTGAAATTGCAGTAATGTTGACAGTAAAATCAGCATTATTTTTGGTACATTGCTTATCAATATTCAAAATTTAAATTAATGTTGTTGCTGTAATATATTTCTGCAAGTTCAGGTGCTTTAAGAGATTAAAATTATGTTAATCACAACTTAATTTATATCAATGGAAGGCTTGTTATGACTTTTAAACACATCAAACAACTAAAATTAGTTAACGAAAATATTGGAGCAATAACTGTATATATAATGATCATTGAGCACATTTTGCACTATGAATATTTAATAATAATGAATTTTTTAAAAATCCAATAAGAAATCTCATTTTAATTAAAGCGGATGGAAGTGCGAGAAACTAATCGATCAAAAATTACTGCTTTTCCAATGGATTTAAATTATAGTTCCGATATAAAATTTTACCATAAGTTTTCTTTGGCTCATTCGAAAGTTTTCACAATAAGTTTGGGGCAAATTTTTAACAAATAGGAAATGTCTATAGATTGCAGAAAGTTTTCCTCTGCAAGCTTTGTAAAATTTACTTGACATGCTTTAAATTTTAATACTCTGCGCATAGGTTTTCTGTGGGAACTATATACAGCTGCACAATAAATTTTGATAACATTCTTGTGTAAAAGGTCATAACATATAATATATATATATATAACAAATTTCCTTTGTTTCATTTTTGTTTTTTTCTTTTGAAAATTTTCTACAAAACTTTCAGCAAGAATATCAGACAAAATATTTCTCGTGCATGTTTAAAATACGGAAAGAATAAAAACAATTATAAAACAACGTCTTTTTGTATGATCATTATAAGAATATGTGTATTATTCTCATGGATTATCTGTAAAATTTTCACGAGATAGAATGTATATTGGTTTTCACAATAATTTATAAATCCATTCACGTGAAAAATGTTCACCTGACATAAGAGCTATTAGAGGATATATATATGGTGCAAAATACACTTTCGTGCCGTCCCTTTATACTATTATTATCTATATAGATATATAATAAAGATATTATTGTGTTTAATAATGTAAAAAGTTCTGTTTCATATTTCAAATTGATAAAAAGAACATAAATATGCTTTGAAAGTGTTTTAACAGCACTTTGTTGGATAATAATAAATTCATAACAATTAATGCACAGGTGTAAAGATTATTGAAAAGGCATGTAACAATGAAGTACTAGCTGTATAACTGATAATGTTTATATAGCTATTATATTTTTAACTTAATGAAGAAAATTCTTTTTGTCGCGATAGTTTATTTATTATATATATATAACCAAATACAGTTTTCTAATAATAAACTAATGAAAATTGAATATCTATTGATGTATATATTTTACTGAAAAACTTCATTGAACATTTGATCAGTCTAAGAATATATATATACTCTTTGTGACAATTGGATAAATTTAGATTTATAAATTTCGTTTTTAAAGAATATATATATAGAATTTATATTCAAATGTATTTTTCTTATCTTTGTTTGCTGCTCTCTTAGCTAAGAGCAAATAGCCAATCCTATTAGGCACATAAGTACACACTAATATTACCTAATTCAATAATTTCTTAAATCAAATTTACATATTAGTGACAAAATCTGGATAGATACTCGCACAGCCTTTGAATAATAATTCAAAATTTCAAAAAAAAAATTTCTAACCAACATTCAATTTTTGCTTTGTTTTTTTTCTTTTCTGACAAAATACAAATTTTGATTCGCTATAAATGATTCAAATCCAATCAAATTTGATTACCGACTAAGTATTCTGTAGTATTACTGAATACTCGGTCGGTAACTCACTGATATATAGTATTAGGCCAATGCAGAATGAAATCTCTAATCGTAAATCTTAAGCTTTTTACATGAGAGAGAAAAGGACAAAAGATATTTCTATCCTTTTCTCTCTCATGTAAAAGCTTAAGATTTACGTTTAAAGATTTCATTCTGCTTAAGGCCTATTACTACTTTTTTAGGTTAGGTTTCACAAATTGTATATTTAAATTTAAAAAAAGTTCTTCTTTTGTCATAAAAACATTCGATATAAAAAATGCAAATTACTACACTGTAAAACGAAAGGTATTAATTTAATACCGATTTTAGGTACTAAATTGTTATTTGGTTCTATTTTGATACCTAAAATTGGTACTGTTTTAGTACCTTCTTTTTACAGTGTATTTACTCTTTTTATAAAAGGCGAACTAATCGAATAATCTATCGTTTGATATATAATTTGATTCGCTGGTCCGTGAAAATGGCCCGCAACAAGAATCTTGATATATTAAACCTTTTCCATGAGATTAAACCTTTTATCTTCGGATGATTCCTATAAGTTTTGCCTCGAATCATTACTTTTCCTATATATATATATATAAATTCCGACGATAATTCACGCAAAAACATGTTTAATCGGGTAAAGTGGCACGCTGCAACCAAAAACTGAGAAACGAGGGTCATCGAATGAGGCAATATGGGAATAGAGGGTGGTAACGAGCGGACAGGGGATTGATTTACTTTTTGGCTGACTAGAGAGAGAGAGAGAGGCCAACCCCAAAATGAAGAGTAAGGGATTCTGGATAGAAATCATCAGCCGATTATAGTGCAGATGTTGTCATGTACGAGGATTATAAGAACTGTGCGCGTATCCCCCTCTTTGTCAATGCACTGCGACGTTTAGAAGAGCATAACATATATCCCAGTCCCTGTGTGTGATCTAAACTTATCTGAGGGGGGGCTCTTGATGGAGAGTAGTAGTTTCTAACCATAGGCTGAGCTTGATTGAATTATCATGAGTGTTTGCGAAGCGGCGGCCTGCAATTGAATTAGGCCTAAGGTCTTATTTCTATTAGGTGGATATTTTTGTTTACGAACCTCCCTATACACTCTCAAAAAACGAATACCGACAACATCAGGAAATTGCTTCTTAAAAAATCGAAACAAATTAAAATAAATTCCTACATCAGTTCAGTTTCATTTCATAATATGTCACAGAAATTATAACGCATTTGACTTAAGAAATAAAAATTCTTACAATTAACTTTTTAATCAAAAATTCCTTTCCAAAACAGAAAACCTTATTTGATTTTCATAAAAAAAATTTCAAACAGCAAAAACTAGAGAGAGAATAGCAAATAAACGTCTCTATATCTATTGTTCACCATCTTTGAGATTTTCTCTGACATAATTTAAAGACATTTGTAGACGGATGTCGTCAAAAAGGAGTTTATAACCTCAGGTAGTTTTTTTTGTGATTTACGACATCAGAAGCAATTCCAAACAAAACTTTGTTTACACTTTCATATTTTTTAAATAAAATGACTCCACTATCTTAATAATACCAATAATTTATATATGTACATATTTTCGAGGCAAATCCAATTTTCTATTTGGCCTCAGCAAACCCGGTATTGTTAATTTAATGTATACCACTTTTAATCTTAAAATTATAATATTCAATAAGAATTCTAAATTGGGATTTATTCTTATTTTTAAAATAAATTCTTCAAAAATGGTTAAGTTAATTTTTTTGAGAATTTACCGAGTTTAGAATTTTCAAGTTTAGGTATATCATGCCGAGGACAAAACGCTAGGTATGGATATTCATTCAGAGTGTGTAAATAATGTTGGCGCCAGGGATCGTGTCCAGCCTCCGTTTACAATCGTCACGCCAGTAGAAGTTGCAGCCGGCCGGGCGCCTTCTGAATTTTTTTTCGGTCCTTACGATGAATCCAATGTTACTGGCGCTAACCAAAAAGACAGATTCATCCGCTCTACCCCCTGGGTTGACAGAGGACCTGTTTCCTGTCATCACCTCTCAAATGCCTAAATAGAACTGAATTCATCCAGCTAATTTTGACAATTATCCGTTACTAATTTCAAATTACTTTATTCGACCAATAAACGTCATATATATATAATGAGAAAGATACAAAATATATATTATGATGAAGCTATAAATAAATTTAGACGAGTCAAACCTTTCTGACACATAGAAAATGGATTTCTATTATATCAAATTTCATTTTTTACGAAATAATAACTATAATCGAAAATCTTCTAATTAATTAGAAAACAAAATTTCCAGAAATTATAAAGATAAAAAATAAATGTATAAAATGCATCGAAAAATGGATTTCTTGAATCATTGAAAAATATTGATTGTCCCATTAGTTGTACAAACGAGCGAATAAATTGAAAACGTTTATATATATAACCTTCGAATCCAACTTCGGCGATACTGATACTAGAAAGTACATATGAAGAACCTGCATCTGGTCGAACCAGGTGTACGATTTACTGAGTTCAATTTGTGCCAAATAAAAAACCATAACATTGAAATCATCTCAAATGCAAAAAAAAAAACAGTTTTTGATTGCAAATGCCAACTAATAATTCGTTCTAAAGGACAATTTTTCCATTCTACGATTATATATCCCTTTGTAATCTATAAATTGCTTTTATAAATTGTTACTTCGAGCACTTATTCTTAAAAAGGTTTCATATACTGAAGCTAAAATATAGATAACCCTGATGGTGTATTTCAATAACAAAACAGTAATTCACCCGTTTTATATATATGAATTGAAAATGTTATTCTAATCGAGTAATGAGTACCAACATAAAAAAAAATTGGTCTGCAGAATCGTGTGGGTATATACAATCAGTGGAAAATCATTAGTGTGACAGACTGCGGTGCGCCTAACGTATGGCACTGCGTCGTCAAAAGATAAGGTGAAACTGCTAATTGGCATCTTGCCAGGACTCTCGGGTTAGTTAAGAATGCGTCTTTAATTTGCGATTTACAACTGAGAATCGCTTTAATTCATAGATTTTTTACCAAAAAATTATACATGAATTCAAAATTTTATAAAATAAATATAGATATTTCATTCCCTCGCGTATTTAAACCCATATGTATATACATATATATATATTTATTTATATATACCGAGAGATCATATATGCAATTTCATTAAAACAAAATTTATGTCAATCACTTTGGAATATTATATATATAATCTCTCATGGAAAATTCAAATATTAAATGAAAACAAAATTATTCCAATTTATTCTTTAATTCAATTATATATTATTATATAAGTTAAATATAATTAATTTAATTATATTCTTTGATAGTTTTTTATTTGAATTTCTCTATTTCTTCCTGTCATAAAAAGCGCGCAATTGCGGATAATATTATATAGTTCAATTATCATTCAATCATAATGTGAATATTTTATGCACCGCACATTATAATATACATATACATCATTAAACGATTCATTACTAATTTATTTTGCACAAAAAAATAATTAATTAGTCTAGGAGGGACAATTAATATTTTTTAAAAAATGTTACACACAAAAAATTATCTGTAAATCACTTTTAAAACACTATTTTATTAAAAATAATCTATTAAAATCTAATTAATGTTTTTAAAAAAATAATTTCCTATAAGCTTTAAAATGATGTATTAACCATTTAATAAAAAAAAATTAATGTAACATTTTTAAATTTGTTAATAGAATAATAATTTATTGTTAATAAAAATATATATATTTCTAACCTTATGTATAGTCTGCAATCGATGCATCAGAGATCCGCTGCAAATACACGAGATTTTCGAATAACGCGATTTTAAAGAATTTCAAACACTCCCGGGATAAAAAATTTACTAAAACCTAAAATTTTAAAAATATTTGGAACACTTTTGAAGCCTTAAATTAAAATAGAAAACACTTTTCTTAAACATCAGATATTTAAGCGATCGCGGTTTTAAGAATTTCGAACACTCCCGGAATAAAAAATTATAACTAAAACCTAAAATTTTCGCAAATTAATAAAATTCGAGCACTGCCGTTCAAATCTGCAAATAGAAAATAAAAGAGATTATTAACTGAACGGGTCAATAGGCGAATTGCAACTATGATTGAATTATATATATATGGGATTTTCAAGCCAGATTTTGTTATGACCTTAAAGGTATAACCTGCTATTTGTATTTGAATGTAAACATATAAGTATACAGCTAGGGGATGCAGGTAGCGAAAGATAATAAAATTTCAAAATTGCTTTGTCACATTTAAAATGATCTTTCAAATTATAATTTTTAATTTAAATATTATTTTACTTATAGATTAATAATATTAAATTAATAATAAAAGTATACAACATTTTTACTAAACAGATCAAAGCATAATTATCTTTTTCAAAAAGACTTTTTAAAAAATTGACTTTATTTGTAATGTAAATTGTGTATAATTAACAAAAGAAAATTATGCACTGATTCAAGGTGAGGAATTTCTAATCTAGGGATTCCTAAACCGAATTTTCATATACATCAGAAGAAGAATTGTGATTTAAAATCGAAGTCTGAACTGAATTTTTGCATAGCTTTGAGATTAATAATATTTTCCAAAGAAGAAAATAAAAATTTTTAATTAGTAAATTCTTTTTCTTTTGAATAAATAAATAAAACGATTGCTATACTATATTTATATAATTCTGCTGTACGCTCAACTGAACCACATACTGAAAAAAGGTTTGGCATTAACAACCAAACATTTGGTTGGTATTTAAGAAACCAAAATTTTTTTGTTGAATCAACAAAATTTTGATTGTCCCAATCAAACTTTAGTTAGGACAACAAAAATCCTTTTTTTCTAATTTTGGTTGTGTCAAACAAATTTTGATTAAGACAAATGACAATTAAAATTTTGTTTATTCAACAAAAAAATTTTGGTTGCTTAAATACCAAACAAACGTTTGGTTGTTAATACCAAACCCTTTTTTCAGTGCATCAGACGAAGTATAGATGAAAGATATCAGAAAGATGATATTAATTTATGGATTTCAATTTGAGCTTCTTTGTCTCTAATTCAGATGAAATTGAAATCACAACCCCCTTTGAGGTCTCTTATTTTTTGGCGCGAATGAACCGGCTTTTATAGAGAAACTGAGTCACTATATAGTCAGAATCACATACGAATTAGAACCTGCTCATCGGCGACGTCGGGGCGCCGGGTGAACGCTGAGGAATGCCGGTTGCTGATAAAAGCCACGGCCAACACCTACATAAATTTTACCGGGATATCTAAGGACGGTCTTTCGTTCATTTAAGAATACATCCTAAATTTAGTGTGTCGAGATATCTTGCCCGCCGCGACGGAGAATACGGATGGACGCGTCTCATCTTCTCAACATCCTAGTTTGCATCACATAGAAATCCTATATACTTATTCCTCTCACATTCTCCTTATCATTTCCCCTATATATAGTCCTATATTCTTTCTCATCAACTTTTTCCATTTCTTATAAAGATAATTTCTTTATTTTAGATCAATTCTCTTTAAATTTTCACTGCAAAATGTTGTTACCTTCAAGAAGAGGAACAAATATATAAATAAACGAATTAATTATTTAAAATGATAATTATTGTCCTGAGTATATCGGAGTTAAAGAAATAAAAAAAAAAAATTTGTCAAGCAAAGATATTAATTAGAAAGATCAAGAAACTGAATTCCTGAAAAAGTCTCTTTCAATAAAATTGTAGGGATATTTTATATATAAATGAAAAAAATAGAAGAAAAGTACAAAATATACATAAACGGATGGTTGTGGGGGTATTGCAGAAAATGTGCGACCGCTAAAGAACTTCATAGGTGTAGAGGGCATTCTTGGGACTAGCCAATGATATTTAAAGATGACAAAAAAGGGAAATAATTAGCAGAGGTGTTAATGAAATACCAAACGAACGCGTGGGACACCCGGTCGGCGCCTCTGAACTGCCAACCAGACATCCAGGACACGCGGTCCGGCGCCGTTTGCCACCCTCGTTCGCTACTCCAAAAACCAGGGACGTATTTTCAATAGAAAACATATCGCATTTTATTTTGCGGTAAATTACATTTTTTTTTTCAAAAATTATTTCCAAATTAACCATATAATTAGAAATTCATTATTATATATATACTCGAAAATTAAAACTTTCTGATAAAAAGACAACTATATAGGTTTATGTTTCAGTATACTGTAAACTTCTATAATTTTTATTCAAATCAAAAATTAAATTGTCCTGCACTTGATAATTATTTTAAATAAAATACAAAAGTTTATTTTAACTTTTGTTTCGATTGTGTTTGTCTCTGATTCTTTCTAAAGAATGTTGCCGAAAAATAATTCGACATAGATAAGAAAATTTTCGACTCTCATCTATCAAAGATAAATTTTACATATATTTTAAATGATTTTGCCCTTTCACTTTATTTGTTTTCCGAGATTCTTTTTTTTTGGTCTCCTCTTCTCATATAGATGAAACATTTTTATCAACCGAAATTAGACTTGCTAATATGAGATAACATTTATTTTAAAACTTTAAAAGTCAGACGACGGCCCTGCTCTAAGGTGTCTCCTTCTCTTTCGTTTTACTACATCCGTCTGTCTTTTTCTCATGTTCCGCTGCCTCTCAACTTGATCGGAGCCGCGCCGGTTATTATATGAGGAGATACGGATCCTGTTTTAACCCGCAACTCTCGCAAGATCAATCTCTTTTCATACCGAAATCAAGACGGTTGATTGCGTTATTTAGGTTTAAAATCATCGATTAAGTATACTTTTAGTTTACAAATTTGAACGCTTCCGAAATATAAATTTCACATTCCACGGATGTAAAAGGAATCATTAGGCTTATTTTTTCTTACACGTACACGGAAAAATGAGCCTAATTGCGATAGGTCTCTGTAACCATAAAACGTCACATATATATATATGCGCGACATATGTTTGTGATCAAAATAAAATACATATATATATATAATTGAGAATCAAAAAAATCTGATAAAATTCAGAATGAGGCGATTTACGATAAAATCTACTGCATGAAATTTATAATTAACTTCGACGTTTTTTATACATTTTTACCTGCACAGATTTCATTTTTCTTATTTGAAAAATGCAAGGCAATTCATTAATTTATCAGAATTATTCAGCATCTTGTATATATACTTATTTTTAACTGATCAATATTATTTTACGATTCAGTCTTACATATACTTTTTAACGTAATTTAAAAAAAGCCCATAAGATAATTAGGGTAAAGTTAAGACTACGCATACACGATCCTAAATATTCATTTAAAAAAAGGACTTACCCAATTAGTTTTTCAGGATTTTATCATATCGTCCAATCGCGCGGCTTATATCTTTGGAATCACATAATTAAACTTGAACCTGAAACAAAAAATTAGTTATTTTAACATTAATATTTTATATATTAATGAATATATAAATCAGTGGCAATTGATAGTTTAAAAAAAAAAAATGTTTCATGTGTGTATATATTGTTATCGTGTGGTGATCTGTCACACCAAAGTGGTGACAGCTAATAAAATGTTGATGCTTTAGTGGCTCCGGCGCCACAGAGAAAATCGTAAAAAGAATATATACGACACACTGATGGAAACATTAGTCCGATACTATTTTCGAAACTTATAGTCGTGTTGCAGAATAAAATTTTAATAGTTTGTCACCGACATATATATAAAATTTTCAAAACACAAACACTCTTTAATTCAAGTTCAATACACCCGCGGCGAAATATATATATATTTTTCAAACATATAAATTAATTTACCAAACTAACAAATTTTTCACCACAAAATTATATTTATATTTTTAAAATATTATTTGACAAAATAATTAATATTATAATTAACAATATAGAATATTCACTAAAGAATTTAAATATATTACAAGGTAAATTATAAATATACACTAGACTTGTCAATGTCGAATTATAATTAATTGACTAAAAATATAATTATACCAGATTTTATAAAACAGAATATATAAAAAACACAGCGTTATCTTGACTAATAAAGAACGTGTAATTTTTTTATGGGACAATTATTTATTTCCTTTTGATGTCTGTTTTTAGACTCTCAAGATATAGGCAAAAAAACGAATCGTACAGATCCTTTTCTGGTCACAAAAAATTATAATCGTATAGTGGTTAGTATTTTATGAGGTCATTCTTTGAAAACCAGACGCGAAGCTCTATATATATATACGCGCACACACTACCACATAGCTAACAAAATAATAAATATAAACTTCACTTTTGCAAATTGTTTACTTTGATATCTATAAATTTTTTCCATTTCCATTATGTTTTACCTGCTTGAATTTTTTATTTTAATTTATTCTTTTTGGTACACTAGAATATTCATTTGCGTAAAAAACTAAATGCGGTTTATTTAAAAAAAAAAAAGTTTTATGAAATTAATTTGAATTTTTGAAAAAAGAAATTTTCAAAAAGATTCACTTTTTCGATATTTGATTTTCTTCACATTTATCCTTGTTTGGTCAGCACGAACTTGATTCTTGTACTTCGAGTTGGGTCTGAAATCTCAAACGTTATACAACCATATACTCGCACTATATGCGGCAAGGTGGTTGTCGCGTTGCTGGATGCTGGAAGCTAATGGGACGCCGCCAACACTCTCTGGTTCGATATCCTCTTTGATCCAAGCCGACCTTGCTCTTGCCTTTGACTCCTGTCCTTGTATCACGATTCCAAACTCGGACGCATCTCCGATTCACCTTTAATCCTCTTTACCTTCTTCTTCTTCTTCTTCTTCCTGGCGTTAAAAATTTTCACGCTGATCGCACGATCCTTTATAAAAGGTCGACAGTTTATGTATATTAAGACATCTTTTAAGCATCAGAAACAAATTTGAAGCTACCATATCTTGTTCCGATCTTCATTTCAAAAACGATGTGGATTTCTCATTATATACGATCATAAATATACATAAGTTCCGAACTCGGAGTTTCTCTTCATTTTAAAAAAACTTTTTTAAAAAGGAAATTCCTTATTACAGCGTTAGTACAATGTAACCCTTTTCGGTGTCTTTTCATCTTTGTATAGAATACATAATTTAGAGATTATGTTTACTTTTTAGTGTCTTTTCATCTTCATACGTACCATTTGGAGGTTATGTTTATTCTTCTTACTGTCTCTGGCATCTTCGTAAAATATACGTACATTTAGAGGTTATGTACTTCTTGTTAACGTCTTTTCATCTTCGTAAAAAGTATCTACAATTTGGAGGTTATGTCTACTTTTTAGTGTCTTTTCACCTTCGTAAAATACATATATACATTTAGAGGTTATGTTTCGTATATCTATAAAACGTAAACGCCTGTTTTTTGCGCATGCAAAAAATCTTAAAGGATCGCATATATATATTAAAAATTCCAACCTTAAAACCGCATTTCCATTGGAAGTTAGGTAAATTGCATTTTCCGTGACCTTGAACCTCGCACTCCATATTTTTCTTCTCATTTTCACGTCTCTGATACGCGTCTAATCTCCAAGGGGATTTCAAAAAGAAAAAAAAAAAATTCTATTTTTTTTTCGTCTATACTCTTGAGATGATTGAAAAAAACGAATGTCGCAAAACTTTTTTTTTTTTTTTTGTTTTTGTTGAGCGCGCAGAAATAACGTTTACGCGTTCGGAATATTGTACAGCAACGCGCTGGCGCCGCATGCTAAGCATGAGAGTTCCAGTTCCGGAATAGTTTACTGGGCGGAGACTGGAAACCCTGAATGTGCTGAATGGTCTTGAAAGTACCGCCCATGTGGACGCCCCGTGATCCTCTTTCTCACTTGCGTTTAAAAAAAAAAAAAAAATATATATATAAAAAAATCAGGAGGGAGAGTAACACAAAGAGAGAAAGAGAGAGAGAGAGAGGGGGGGGGATTTAGCGTAGTACCTTAGCCAGCAATGTTTGCATGATTTAATTCAGCTTTCACAGATAAAAAAAAAGATTGTACACTTATTATCATTTTTTTTTTCTGTTCATAACTCCTATTGATTAGAGTAACGAATTTCTCTTTTATGAAAGCACGTTATACTGATGTGGAATAATTTTTATAATTTTACCGTTTGAATAATGAAAAATTTATAATTATAATATACACTGAGAGAAAATATTGGTTGGGGTTAACATTTTTAGTTTGTAAACTATATACTGCTGCTAATTTATTAATTGTGGTTATTATTTTTATTGGTTGGCATAACTATGTTTTATTAGTTATAGTTTAATTAATTAGTTTGTTGGAATAACTATTGAATTAGTTATACCTTACTAACGAAATGGTTAGGCTGACTAACTAAATGGTAACAGTAACTAATATAAATTAGCAAAACTAAATAAATGGTAATCCCAACCAATTGTTTCTCTGAGTATACTTGTTTTACTAAATAATGAAACAATGGGGTTATAATAATAATTTATAATACACATACCCAAAAAAATGATTTTGATTTTATTGTATTCTTTTTCCGAAATGAGCATTTTTCTCTCAAAGGTCCGAATTTTCTTTTAGCAGATGCTATTATATACCTTTCTTTTAATAGCATTTTTATAAAAAGTGTTAATTGTGTGTTTATGAAATAACATATGAACTATTAAATTATAAAGATCTATATCACAATTTTCTTTCTTTTTACTGAGAATCATTGATTTTATCTATATACATCGTGTACTTGTAGATAGGTACACGTGCACATGTAACATTTTTACTTTGTCGGTAAAATCTTGCCCTCCTTTAAGGATAGAAACCCATTATCATTAATTAAACACCAAAGCAGATTTATCGCACTTATAGATCAAGAATTTTGAATCCCTGCTCAATTGTATAGGAGATAATTTTTTAACCGCTCTTTAAAGTCCAAGATTATTCGAATCAGATGTGGATATACATAAATGTAAACTAATTCATATATGACTCACTCTCTTTCTCTTTATGAGAATTCATTAAAAATCCTGTACAGGAAATTGTACAAATTCTTTAATAATTTGTAAAAATAAAAGGTGTGTTTTCATGCTTCATGCAACAAAGTTTTATAGATCCTATATATAATTAATATTTTCTATTTTATGAAAATTTAGAAATTATAATGAAAGTCTAATTAAATATTTTTTAATTTTCAGAGAGCAGAAGTTCATTATGCGTTGGTTGTGGAGGTCGAATTCACGATCAATGGATTTTAAGGGTGGCACCCGATCTTGAATGGCACGCCGCGTGTTTAAAATGCGCTGAATGTCAACAATTTCTAGATGAAAGTTGCACTTGTTTTGTTCGTGATGGCAAAACTTATTGCAAACGTGATTATGTTAGGTAAGATTTATAATTTTTATTTAATTAAAAAATTGAAATTTTTTTTCTTTTTTGTTTTATTATATGCAAAACAAAAATGATTTATTTTTTTCTAATATGCGCGAGTAAAAAAAAAGGTCATTGTGCAAACATTTTTGACGTAATGTTTATTTGATTTGATCCATCAATGTCGGAAAGATTCAGACGAGAGAAACTCGACGCGCATATCCGGTTAAAATTCCAAAGTTGTTAAGCGCGCGAGATGAAGAAAAAAAAAAAAAAAAAAGAAACAAATCCAAAACGACACGACGTGAGCGAGTTTGTTGTTCCTGTCAGATTCAGTCCAACACGTTAAAAAGGACCATTGAGCGCGACTTTTTCTTAGCACCACGTGGGTGTTCTGACCCGTTTATGAATTGCAAAATATACTATTATAAAATATATTTCAATCTCTCATAGATTTAATATTTAATAAACGCGATTTTATAAGCTTTTTATTTATATAATTTTAAAATCACGAATTTTTCTTTTTCTCAATGAGAATTTCTTTTTTCTATTATATAAATATAATTCTTTGTTACAGATTATTTGGTACCAAGTGTGATAAATGCAGTCAGTCCTTTAGTAAAAATGACTTTGTTATGAGGGCGAAAAGTAAAATTTATCACATCGATTGTTTTCGATGTTCAGCCTGTATGAGGCAACTTGTTCCTGGAGATGAGTTTGCGTTACGGCACGATGGACTTTTTTGTAGGCACGATCACGATGTTTTGGAAGGGGAAAAATTGTGTACTGCCAGCGGTGGTGTCACAGGAAATGAAAACAATAATAATGCAACTCTCACCAATAATAATCATCATCTGCATCCAAATGATGGATCCATGTCTGGTGAGTTTTCTATATATAAAAAAAATTTAGCCCAAGAGAAAATAAACTTTTTGAAGAAAACCTACTAATTCCTATAAAAAAATTTTGATGATCATCGAATCCTCGAGTGACAAAATTTACCAATATTTGTAATATTCATAAAATATATAGCAAAATGAAAATTTTTATTATAATCCTGCAGCAAAAATTGACCGGGGGGTATTAGAAGTAAAATGGCTCTCGACGAATTTCGTATGTGTAAATATTATATATACACAAAGCTCGACACAAAGGACCCTTGTGTTGTGTTAAGATTAACGAGTATAATCATCAGGTGTTGATAATTGAAATATTAGAACCCTTCAAGTTTGACCATCGTCCCTTATACTAACTCATGGATTTTGGAAGCTTAAAGTGAATCCGGTCACGTGTTTTTGAATAATTTAGGCATCAAGAGACAAGGGAAATGTCCACACTGTAATTAGGAAACATGGTTTTAATATGTCAAAGTCTCATATGCATCAATTATTCAATGCTTTTAAACGGAAGTCGCCTATTTCAACAAAAGATATTGTAAAATAGGGCAATTTTATATACTTTATAGTCTTTTCTCATATTACCAAAACAAAAATGTGATTTCAATTTAATATAATAATCCCGAAAAGGTAATTTCATAATTTAACTTTGTTTATACAAAAATATCATTTCTCAATAACATATATGCGTTCTGTGTAAATTTTTCCAATAAACAAGTTCTTTAGGATTCTGTTAATATATATCTCGGCAACATTCGGTAGCCGCTAAACTGAAACGCAACTGACAGTTTTGGTATTATAATTTGGCAGTGAAATCACTATACCACACACATACCGAAACATATATATATATATAAGGACGCACGAACGCCTGACACATAAAATTCAGACTGGTTCCAACACACGTTGTCGACAGTAGTGGTTTGACGGGTCCTTTACCCATCTTAAGGGGAGAAGGTGTCAAATGTAACACCATCCTGCCAACTACTGTGGCACACAGCGACGCACGACTTTTTTTTCTTTTACTATTTCTCATTAGGAAGAAATCCTTTAAGTTAACGTGACGATCAAGCCACCGCACGCATTATCCACCTTAACGATCAGCTATCAAGAACTAAAAGATTATCTCTTTCTTCATTCAAGTAGATGCGAAGACGATAATATAACGTGCGGGGCCTTCTCCAAACAAATTCCAAGAATTCTCATATATTCTTCATTTTTAATCTTTTTCCTCATAAAAGAATAACAAAATCAAATACAATTGATTCTAAAAAAAAAAAAAGTTTAATTTAATTTCCACTCAATTCAAATTTGTTCTTCAATTGAAAAAGTATAATTTTTAGTAACTTAAAAAAAAAAATTTATTTGATTCAAATATTATTATTGATGACTATTAACAAATAAATATTTACTTGAAACTAATAATTTTTATTTAAATTAAATAAATTATATATTTAAACCAATAATTTTTGTATTTGAAATAAATATATACCATTTAATACGAAGTACGCAACATTTATGATAAATGATTTTTAAAGAAATAATTTCACTGTAAAAAGAAAGTACTAAAACAGTACCGATTTTAGGTATCAAATTAGAAACAAATGACAATTTAGTACCTGAAGTCGGTATTAAATTAATACCTTTTTATACAGTGTTTTTAAAATGAAAAATTCTATAATTTTTCGTCTAAAATATATTTCTTGTTGTTTTCGCATTAATCAACAAATTATAAAAAAATATTTTTTAGACAAAAAATTAAAGAATTTTTCATTTTAAAAAATTATTTCTTTAAAAATCGTTTATCATATAAACGTTGTGTCTTTGTCATTTAATTGATTTCAAATAAAAATTACAGTGGGACCTCGATTATCCGAACTATATAACCTATACGAGTTCGAATAATAGAAATTTCAAATGTTTTTATATAATTAATGTAAAACAATGTCACAGTTAAACTATATATTTAATTTAATATAATAATTTAAATTTTCATAAATATTTAGGGTAAATGCACTAATTGCGGCGCGATTCGAATCAAAACACCTTTGAAATAGAAAATTCAACATTTCTATTGTATAAACTCAATTTAAGACTTATTAAACTAAAAGCTTATGTTATTTAGATATTGTATTCAAAAAAAAATTTAACTTTATAAAAATCGATTATTTAAACAAATATGAGAAATTAAAACTGATACCGTAATTATCTATTGCGGCGCGTTTGTATCAATTTCGGTGACCAAAATTACGTGTGCGTATTTTTGAAGAAATTGGAGCCTATATATGGAAATATTAAAAAATTTTCAATTGCGGCGCGGAAAAAAAATTTGACCTCAAATAATTAAATTAATAATTGTTTAAATGTGCATCTTTATAAGTAATTGTATCAAAAAAAGATTAAAATAATTTTTTTTTAATCATTTTGCAACAGTTATATTAAATATATATATATATAATAGTAATAATAGTTATTTTAATGAACGCGCCGTAATTTATATATTAAATAATAATTAAGATATAAATTACATTAATAAAATAAAAAAAAAAACGATTTTATTAAGATTTCTTTAAAATAAATTTTATTTTTGCTTTGGAAAATTGAAACTTTTCGTTTTTCTTTTTTTTAGAGAAATTTGAATAATGAAATTTTAAAAATGTAAAAAATATATAAAAATAAATTTTATGTTTCGGAAAGACAAAAAAAAAAGTTCGGATAAAATGTTTTATCGGATAATCGAGGTTCAACTGTATTTGGTTCAATAAATAAATATTTATATTTGATATAATAGTAATGAGTAATCGAGTATTTGAATCAAATAAATTTTTTTATACAATTATAAACATATAAATAAAATTAAAACTTGACTTCACAGAAAATTAAAAGGTATTAAAATAAGCTGCAACGCTTTTTTAATTTTCTGTGTTATTATTTAAATCAGTAAATTTTTGATTAATCTTTTTATTATTTTTGATATATAAAATTTAATTTTAATGTAATTAATTTTAATTTGAAAATAATTAAGAATAAATTGACTGAAATTAGTAAAAATGTTGACCAATTTAGAGCAAAGATATATAAATTAGTCAATTAAGAAACGTAGTTTGTATATATATGTTAAGGAAGTGGCCAAGGCCGCGAACGCTTGTATTTTCGCAAATATATAATTAGTTGTCTTTTTTATTTGATTCCGATCATCGTTTCTTTAAGTGCACTATCGCAAACAAAATCTCGAGTTGATCGTGTCTCTCTTGGGTATATAACGCGATGACGCAGCGTCGGGGAGAGATATCTTTTTGGACTCCAGATTTGTGGTGTGTTGTATGTATATATAGAGGCACTCGATATCTTCCTGAGCGAGCAAGGTGTGTACTCTGTTGGACACGAAGCGGCTTAACATCAAAAGGTAAAAGTCACCATTGAAATCGCCGCTTCTTCATCTACACTTTACACATATACTCTCAAAAGAATGCCATCGAGAGTACCAACATGTCGAACTTATTGGTATTCTCGATTTCGAATTTCGTATATATATATAAAGATCCGACTTACCAAGTGTTTCACTAAAACTTTTTTTTTTTTTTTTGGGTACTTTCCGCGTCGGCGACCTGTTTTATTTATCTCTTTCTCTTCTTTTTTTTTCCCCCCCATAGACCTCGCGTTGACCGCTATTTGGTTAGGACGTAAAAATAGGCTTTGAATTTCATTTACTCGATTCGGTTGGTTAGCCTTCTGTTTTACCGAGGGTAAACAGTAAAAACCCAATGGCCAACTTGGCAGAGAAACTAAAATGGTACTTGGATCTCTAGAGTCAAGGAAACAACTTTTATAATGTCCCTTTTTTTGATTTTTTTTTTCACGGCTATTTTTATTTTCTAGATTCGGAATCAGAAAGTGGTTCGCATAAAGCTGTGGGAAGTGCTCGAGGATCTGGTGGTCATAAAGGTGGTGGAGGTTCAGATGGAAAACCAACAAGAGTACGAACAGTACTTAATGAAAAACAATTGAATACATTGAGAAATTGTTATAATCAAAATCCAAGGCCCGATGCTCTTATGAAAGAACAACTCGTTGAAATGACTGGACTTAGTCCTCGTGTTATAAGGGTGTGGTTTCAAAATAAGAGATGTAAAGACAAAAAGAAAACAATAGCAATGAAACAGCAAATGCAACAAGAGAAGGTAAAAAATTTACAATAAATTATATTCCGATATAAATATATATAGTATATTATAATTAAAGAAACAGTTTTTAAATTTTCAGTAATTGAATTTAATTTTACGAAGTATTTTCCGTTGCAGGACGGGCGAAAATTGGGTTTTGGTGGAATGCATGGAATTCCAATGGTTGCCAGTAGTCCTGTACGACATGAAAGTCCCATAGGAATGACACCTTTGGAAGTGCAAGCATATCCAGCACCATGGAAACAACTTCATGATTATGTTGCTCAACATACGGAATTAGATACCAATGCCCCATCGTTTCATCATTTAGTTTCACAAGTAATTATTTTTTTTTTTTCTAAAAAATATAATATGACTTACCAAAATACGACTCTCCAAATCCTTTCACCACTTTCCATATACGACGTATATATTTCTTTTCTGCAACAAAAAAATTTTAATTAATTTTTAAGTATATTAAAATGAAAATTTATTTTTTCAGATGCATGGTTACGATATGCCTGGAGGACCACCACCTCATTTACCACCACCAGGAATGCTTGGTGGACCTATGAATGAAGGTTTAGGAGGCGGTGGACCTCTACCACCGCCTGGACCACATCATCCAGGAGCATTGGACATGGGCCAACATCCCGATAGTACAGATAGTTATGTAACTTATCTTGAAAGTGACAGTGATTCGTTACACCATGATACAGGAAGTCCATAGTGCCGTCCCCTCAATCTCCGATGTACATACAATAATAGATTGACAAGACGCGACACAGACTGTTTTTCTCATTCAATGATGATCAGTCCACAGTCGACAAATTAAAACAAGAGCTTAAATTAATTTTTTAAATCGTATAATAAATAAGATTATCCGCTTTTATTTATTCGTTGATTTTAATTTCAAATTTTATATATATTTTTTTTTTTAAAAAACCAATTATCAAATTTTACCTATACCTGATAATATTATCAATAAAATGATAATAAGAAATAATAAATTGGGATCGTAAAAAGAAAATTAAATTTTTAGCTTTTGTACATTTTCGTAAAAGGACAAAAGACTTCTTGTATCAAGTGTACATATAAAATGAAAAGAAATGTACATTTTAGAGATAAGAATAATATCAGTATTGCATTTAGATTGTATAGACCAAAAAAATTATTAGCAAAATTTTTGAAAGTGGCACAAAAGTTTTAATGAAAAAAAAAAATTTTTTTTAGACTATATTTAATGCAATCTAAATGCGATACTGAAAAATCAATCGTAATTTAACATACTCAGGCCCAAGAAATTATGTAATAAATATAACATAAATAGTAAACGACGTAAAGTTCCACTGACATTGTAATTGATAAATTGTAAGTATTTTAGTATTCACACTGTCGTAAGTTGAATCGTTTATAAGTTGTAACGCGTCACACGTATGTCTGCATAATAAATTTTGCAATAAATTATGTGTCCATATGTAAATTTATACACATTCAAACAATACCAAAGCATGCGCGATTTTCAGTATAAATTAATGCACTTCTTTGTAAATAATTTTACATACACACACACCTTAATTCGTATCTCTAAGAACAAAAGTCGAAAATATCTTTTTTTTGAATCAAAAAAAGGAAATATTATATTTTGTACATATAACATATCAGTGTTAAATAATTTTTTAAATTTTAATAAAGTTTCTTTCAATTAATTTTAAGTTTAAATAGAAACTATTTTAAATTTCTCCTCTGTGATTGTAAACATTTTTAGGTTATTTATTATTATTATTATTACCATAATATTGTTATTAGTTTCTAGTGATACGAAATAACGTTTGTTTACAGAAGTTGCACTGAAAATACTATTATCTGAACAATTTAAGTGTATTTCCGTGATTTATATTTTTAGTATTGTACCCGTATATGTATGTTTAAAGAGAGTTTTCTAATCACAATTTTAATTTTTAAATTTACATACGTTAAAAAAACTGTTCTTGTTTATCTCGTGAAATAAAACAATTAACTTTTTGAAATTGAAAAAAATGAACCGATTGATTTAGCGAACTTTCTTTTTTTTTTTTTTTATCATTTTTGTTACACGCACGTCGCTCTGCTGTATATGTTATCATAAAAAAAATTTTTAGCTTTTACGTTCCCAAATTTTCTTAAATATCTTCGAATTTGTATAATATTTCTATACAGCCATAGCGTATGATAATAAAAATTCAAAGTGAATATTGTATAATTTTTCTTTTAATTATAAACACCATAACCTATAAATGCTAAATTTTCACCTTGCATCATACAAAGAAAATGTTCTAATTCATTTTTCACTTCCCAAAAAAATGACCATTTGCTGAATTATTTATATTATTGATATTAATGGTTTTGTATCAACTCACCTTCATATATCTTCATGTAAGCAATTGTTTCCTCCTTTGTTCTGCACATGGTTCTACAACAAGCATCTTTGCAAATCTTTTCTTTGCTATCTTGATTGAAATCACTGAAATAAATTAAGTTATTAATTAATAAATTAATAAAATTAATAAAGTTATTTCCAAATTAGTATGAAATTCTATGACATATGTACATTTATATTTTCGAAAAGATTAAAAGTTAATTTCTTCTCAATATACTAGATATTAGAATATTTTAATAAAAAGACAAAAGACAAGATCAAAAAAGTATGAAAATTGCCAAAAACAGAAGATTACCTTTTTCCCTCCATTTTACACACAAAATTTCTAAGACAGGAAACCCCAGAACTAAAATACTCAAGCTTCATTTACAAATGTTCATTGTAAGTGCAAAGATGGACATTCATTTTATCAGAATGCTAAATTTGAAGTGGAACATCCAAAATATAGCGTGACTAACGTCACACTGCGCAACACATTCAAAATGGCGGAATAGTATCGTTTATACTGCGCATGCTCAATAGAACTTGTCCTCCACACAGGTAACTATTCTTTTCTCAGAAATTTTTTTTTACCGAAAACAAAATCGAATCGAGTTTTGATGCTAGGAATACAAAAAATATAAGATGTGAATGCGGTCTGATAAATTGAAATAATTTACAGAATAAACTCAGCAGATGTCGGGTTTGTCAAGAAAATAAATAATCTGCTTACTGCGCTGACTCACGTAGTAGGTTATTTAAAAGAAATAAAATTTAAAATAATTATGAATATAAATAAATAAAATAATTATAATAGTTAAAATAGTAATATTTAAAATAATAATATATTTATAATATAAATAAATAATATATAAATAATTCACAAGTAAATGTAAATATAATTATATATCCAAGTATATTTATGATTATAATAAAATGAATATAATTATAATCAAAAAATTAAAATATATATGTATTTACATATATTATAAACTAAAATAAAATATATTAATATCTTTCATCAGACTGTTATTAAACTTTGGCTGGCCTTGTCTGAATAATGTATTTAATTCGAAGAACAAATTTTAACCAAAAAAAAACATAATTTAGAGAATTGAAAAAAAATTCTTTTTTTTATAAAGCAAACGGTTTCAAACTCATGCAAGAGAAAAGGAAAAAAATCCTTTACCAAAAGGATATAACTCTGATGCTGAAATTAGGATTTTTTTTTCTTCGAAGAATCTTGATTTCATCGAAGTCTCAAAAAAATAAAATTTAGGTCTGTCAATTCAGTTTTAAATTGTTTCATCATTTTTAACTGAAACTTATGAATACTATTTAACAAATAATTGCAAAAAAACATTAAAATTTCCAATAATTAAACTTTTGCTGGCCTTGTCCGAATAATTTCTTTAATTCGAAGAACAAATTTTAACCAAAAAAAACATAATTTAGAGAATTGAAAAAAAATTCTTTTTTTATAAAGCAAACGGCTTCAAACTGATGCAAAAGAAAACAGAAAAAATCTTTTGTCTTGAGGATATAACTCTGATGCTGAAATTGGGATTTTTTTTTCTTCGAAGAATCTTGATTTCATCGAAGTCTCAAAAAAATAAAATTTAGGTCCGTCAATTGAGTTTTAAATTGTTTCATTTTTTCACCTGAAACTAATCAATACTAATTAACAAATTATTTCCAAAAAAAATAAAAATTTCCAACAATTAAATTTTTGCTGGCCTTGTCCAAATAATGTCTTTAATTCGAAGAACAAATTTTAACCAAAAAAAAACATAATTTAGAGAATTGAAAAAAAATTCTTTTTTTATAAAGCAAACGGTTTCAAACTCATGCAAGAGAAAAGGAAAAAAATCCTTTACCAAAAGGATATAACTCTGATGCTGAAATTAGGATTTTTTTTTTTCTTCGAAGAATCTTGATTTCATCGAAGTCTCAAAAAAATAAAATTTAGGTCTGTCAATTCAGTTTTAAATTGTTTCATCATTTTTACCTGAAACTTATGAATACTATTTAACAAATAATTGCAAAAAAAGATTAAAATTTCCAATAATTAAACTTTTGCTGGCCTTGTCCGAATAATTTCTTTACTTCGAAGAACAAATTTTAACCAAAAAAAACATAATTTAGAGAATTGAAAAAAAATTCTTTTTTTATAAAGAAAACGGCTTCAAACTGATGCAAAAGAAAACAGAAAAAATCTTTTGTCTTGAGGATATAACTTTGATGCTGAAATTGGGATTTTTTTTTTCTTCGAAGAATCTTGATTTCATCGAAGTCTCAAAGTTATATCCTCAAGACAAAAGATTTTTTCTGTTTTCTTTTGCATCAGTTTGAAGCCGTTTTCTTTATAAAAAAAGAATTTTTTTTCAATTCTCTAAATTATGTTTTTTTTGGTTAAAATTTGTTCTTTGAATTAAAGACATTATTCGGACAAGGCCAGCAAAAATTTAATTGTTGGACATTTTTATTTTTTTTGGAAATAATTTGTTAATTAGTATTGATTAGTTTTAGGTGAAAAAATGAAACAATTTAAAACTGAATTGACGGACCTAAATTTTATTTTTTTGAGACTTCGATGAAATCAAGATTCTTCGAAGAAAAAAAAAATCCCAATTTCAGCATCAGAGTTATATCCTCATGACAAAGGATTTTTTTCTCTTTTCTTTTGCATCAGTTTGAAACCGTTTTCTTTATAAAAAAAGAATTTTTTTTCAATTCTCTAAATTATGTTTTTTTTGGTTAAAATTTGTTCTTCGAAGTAAAGAAATTATTCGGACAAGGCCAGCAAAAGTTTAATTATTGGAAATTTTAATCTTTTTTTGCAATTATTTGTTAAATAGTATTCATAAGTTTCAGTTAAAAATGATGAAACAATTTAAAACTGAATTGACAGACCTAAATTTTATTTTTTTGAGACTTTGATGAAATCAAGATTCTTCGAAGAAAAAAAAAATCCTAATTTCAGCATCAGAGTTATATCCTTTTGGTAAAGGATTTTTTTCCTTTTCTCTTGCATGAGTTTGAAACCGTTTTCTTTATAAAAAAAGAATTTTTTTTCAATTCTCTAAATTATGTTTTTTTTGGTTAAAATTTGTTCTTCGAATTAAAGACATTATTCGGACAAGGCCAGCAAAAATTTAATTGTTGGACATTTTTATTTTTTTTGGAAATAATTTGTTAATTAGTATTGATTAGTTTTAGGTGAAAAAATGAAACAATTTAAAACTGAATTGACGGACCTAAATTTTATTTTTTTGAGACTTCGATGAAATCAAGATTCTTCGAAGAAAAAAAAAATCCCAATTTCAGCATCAAAGTTATATCCTCAAGACAAAAGATTTTTTCTGTTTTCTTTTGCATCAGTTTGAAGCCGTTTTCTTTATAAAAAAAGAATTTTTTTTCAATTCTCTAAATTATGTTTTTTTTGGTTAAAATTTGTTCTTCGAAGTAAAGAAATTATTCGGACAAGGCCAGCAAAAGTTTAATTATTGGAAATTTTTATTTTTTTTGGAAATAATTTGTTAATTAGTATTGATTAGTTTCAGGTGAAAAAATGAAACAATTTAAAACTCAATTGATGGACCTAAATTTTATTTTTTTGAGACTTCGATGAAATCAAGATTCTTTGAAGAAAAAAAAATCCCAATTTCAGCATCAAAGTTATATCCTCAAGACAAAAGATTTTTTCTGTTTTCTTTTGCATCAGTTTGAAGCCGTTTTCTTTATAAAAAAAGAATTTTTTTTCAATTCTCTAAATTATGTTTTTTTTGGTTAAAATTTGTTCTTCGAATTAAAGACATTATTCGGACAAGGCGAGCAAAAATTTAATTGTTGGACATTTTTATTTTTTTTGGAAATAATTTGTTAATTAGTATTGATTAGTTTTAGGTGAAAAAATGAAACAATTTAAAACTGAATTGACGGACCTAAATTTTATTTTTTTGAGACTTCGATGAAATCAAGATTCTTCGAAGAAAAAAAAATCCCAATTTCAGCATCAAAGTTATATCCTCAAGACAAAAGATTTTTTCTGTTTTCTTTTGCATCAGTTTGAAGCCGTTTTCTTTATAAAAAAAGAATTTTTTTTCAATTCTCTAAATTATGTTTTTTTTGGTTAAAATTTGTTCTTCGAAGTAAAGAAATTATTCGGACAAGGCCAGCAAAAGTTTAATTATTGGAAATTTTAATCTTTTTTTGCAATTATTTGTTAAATAGTATTCATAAGTTTCAGGTAAAAATGATGAAACAATTTAAAACTGAATTGACAGACCTAAATTTTATTTTTTTGAGACTTCGATGAAATCAAGATTCTTCGAAGAAAAAAAAAATCCTAATTTCAGCATCAGAGTTATATCCTTTTGGTAAAGGATTTTTTTCCTTTTCTCTTGCATGAGTTTGAAACCGTTTGCTTTATAAAAAAAGAATTTTTTTTCAATTCTCTAAATTATGTTTTTTTTTGGTTAAAATTTGTTCTTCGAATTAAAGACATTATTTGGACAAGGCCAGCAAAAATTTAATTGTTGGAAATTTTTATTTTTTTTGGAAATAATTTGTTAATTAGTATTGATTAGTTTCAGGTGAAAAAATGAAACAATTTAAAACTCAATTGACGGACCTAAATTTTATTTTTTTGAGACTTCGATGAAATCAAGATTCTTCGAAGAAAAAAAAATCCCAATTTCAGCATCAGAGTTATATCCTCAAGACAAAAGATTTTTTCTGTTTTCTTTTGCATCAGTTTGAAGCCGTTTGCTTTATAAAAAAAGAATTTTTTTTCAATTCTCTAAATTATGTTTTTTTTTGGTTAAAATTTGTTCTTCGAATTAAATACATTATTCAGACAAGGCCAGCCAAAGTTTAATAACAGTCTGATGAAAGATATTAATATATTTTATTTTAGTTTATAATATATGTAAATACATATATATTTTAATTTTTTGATTATAATTATATTCATTTTATTATAATCATAAATATACTTGGATATATAATTATATTTACATTTACTTGTGAATTATTTATATATTATTTATTTATATTATAAATATATTATTATTTTAAATATTACTATTTTAACTATTATAATTATTTTATTTATTTATATTCATAATTATTTTAAATTTTATTTCTTTTAAATAACCTACTACGTGAGTCAGCGCAGTAAGCAGATTATTTATTTTCTTGACAAACCCGACATCTGCTGAGTTTATTCTGTAAATTATTTCAATTTATCAGACCGCATTCACATCTTATATTATTTGTATTCCTAGCATCAAAACTCGATTCGATTTTGTTTTCGGTAAAAAAAAATTTCTGAGAAAAGAATAGTTACCCACACTTGTCACATTTTGGAAGTTTTAATCAATGTGACCTGTGATCGTACCCTAAGACTTATACATATGAGATACCAGGAGATACGTAACATACATACGAACATTCATTCATACCTTATACTTCCTCAACCTTGTTTGACAACAAACATACATGTGATTATTAATTTTGACAACAAAACAATGTTTGAAATAATTAATTGTTAACAAAAATATAGATTTTTATTAGGTTGAATCATTAAAATAAATAAGATGCCACCAAAATCAAAAAAGGTAAAAATAAAATTGTTAACCTAAATTATAATAAAAATTTTTGGGGTTACGATAGTATTGTTTTGAAATTCACAATTTTTGATATTATTATTTAACATTAATTAAATAACGTCTTTTCTAATTTAATTATAGTTACCTGCAAAAGTAGAGCAAAATTCAAAAGCTCTAAGCAGTACTCTAAGTACAATATCCTCAGAATCTACAAGAAGTGGACTTACAATTGAGGCTGAAGACAGATTTGAAGTAGAACTCCTTTGGTGTATTCAACAATTACAAACTCTTCTAATAGATGGAAAAATGACGGATAAACAATTATATATTGCTAGTAAAAATCTCAATACTTTAAAAAGTAATTCTGCTTCATTGATAAAAAAGCGACAAATTATGAGAAATACATTTGGTGATTATAGGGCAAAAATGTCAGAAGATGAAAAAAAATATAAAAAATCAAACTCTACTATAAAATTCACATCTCCAACATCAACAAAAAATAATTCTACATTTTTAAAAAAATCACATATAAAGCCTATTTCAGATTCTAATTTAGATAACGAATCTCAAAAATCCACCATTTCAACAAGTAGTTTATTTAATTCTGATGTAACAAATGAACCATTCAAATTTAATTTTACACAACCAGAAGATTAACAAATAAAGAATTTTATATAAAAAAAAACTTGAATTTCATTTCTGAGTGCAATTGTCAATAAATTAGTTTTGGCACTTAATAAAAGAGTTAATTAGTGACTTTTAAATTATGTTAATTTAAATACCTGCTTGTGAAGTTTGTAAACAGCTTTTACAAAAATTGTTACCACAAGGTCCTGTGGCGCAACGGATAACGCGTCTGACTACGGATCAGAAGATTCCAGGTTCGAATCCTGGCAGGATCGACCTTTTTTTGTCACTATAAGAGAATAAAATTTATTTATTAATTTTTTTTATACTTCACAAAAATATTTATTACTATTTTTTGATTGTTCTAATCATTTTCTTTGGAAAAAGTAAAAAAATATAAGTTAATTATCTCTGAAAGATAAAATAACTTCTCTGCCATCTGTCAACATTTACTTCTACTCCAAAAAGTAAACGCACCTCATTCTAACCTAAAAATTGTAATGTTTTAAAGCAACGTGTGCGAGATTGAAAGTTTTTTTTTTAAATAAATCAATTGTATTTATAACATCTTTCAAGAATGGTCGAAGACGTGGCTACTGGAGTGCAGAACGTGACTTTAAAAGATGATAAGGCATGAAAAACTCAATTTTCATCATGATTTTTTTTAATTTGTAAAAACAATCGAGACAAATGTTAACAAATTTACGAATTCGTGTTTTAAGCGTTGTACAGTGCCGCTATAAATGGACACATGCTGCGGTTGGTTATAACGAATTCTATTATAATTTTCTTGCTTTTTGAATTATTTATTTTGTCAATGTTTTGTCTAAATAATATATAAAATTAATTTTACCGATAAACCAACAAGTTTGATTTCAATTTTTATGAATATTAATATTTTACCTGGGCATATTGTGCGTGATCAATAATCTGACGTAACCTTTTTCTGTTTCGATTGTGTGTTCATTGAAAATATGATGTGGCTTCAGTATTTCTGAAACATAGTTAATTTAATTTTATATTAAATATTTTTGTATTTTATATTTATTGATTATTTCTGTTTAGAAGAAAATGAAACCACCAAAAGGAAATGCAACGGAAAAGAGCTCCGTTTCGGAGCTTAATCCACTTCCTTCTTATATTCAGGTATTTTTTGGAATTAAGATATTTTGAACTATTAAATTAAAGAAAAATTTAATATTTTAGAATTAAAAAATATTGTTTCCTTTATAGGTTAGGATTTTTGAAATTTATAAATATGCATTATTTTTTTTTAGGATCGAATCACTCTTTACGATAAATTAAAAGCTGAATATGAAGCAGATTTGGCTGCAAAAATACCTATGGAAATAAAAATTACTCTTCCTGATGGAAAAGAAGTGACTGGTCAATCGTGGCGTACAACACCTTATGAAATTGCAAAAGGCATAAGTACTGGCTTGGCAGACAATGCCGTTATTTCCAAAGTCAACAATGTGCTTTGGGATTTGGATAGACCTTTGGAATCTGATTGTAAATTGCAATTACTGAAATTCGATGATCCTGAAGCGCAACAAGTCTTTTGGCATTCAAGTGCTCATATTCTTGGCGAAGCAATGGAACGTGTTTACGGTGGTTGTCTATGTTATGGACCACCAATTGAAAATGGATTCTATTACGATATGTACATTGGAGAAAAGGGAATTTCAACTACTGATTTTCCATATATCGATGGTCTTTGTAAAAATATAGCCAAGGAGAAACAGCCTTTTGAGAGGCTTGAAATGAAAAAAGAAGATCTTCTTGAAATGTTTAAATATAATGAATTTAAAATTCGAATTCTTAATGAAAAAGTGACAACGCCCACCACAACTGTCTATAGATGTGGATCATTGATTGATTTATGTCGTGGTCCTCATGTAAGACATACGGGAAAAATTAAGGCAGCTAAAATTACGAAAAATTCATCATCCTATTGGGAAGGTAATGCAAATGCTGAAAGTCTACAAAGAGTTTATGGAATTAGTTTTCCAGATAATAAACAATTAAAAGAATGGGAAAAGTTTCAAGAGGAAGCTGCTAAACGTGATCATAGAAAAATTGGAAGAGAACAAGAACTATTTTTCTTTCATGAATTATCACCTGGTTCATGTTTCTTTCAACCAAGGGGTGCACATATTTATAATATTTTAGTTGAATTTATACGATCCGAATATAAAAAGCGAGGATTCCAAGAAGTAGTGACGCCTAATGTTTATAATACAAAATTATGGCAAACTTCAGGACATTGGGAACATTATGCTGAAAATATGTTTTCCTTTGACGTTGAGAAAGAAACATTTGCTCTAAAGCCAATGAATTGTCCTGGTCATTGTATGATTTTTGATGTACGCAACAGATCATGGAGGGAACTTCCATTAAGAATGGCTGATTTTGGAGTACTACATCGCAATGAATTATCAGGAGCACTCACTGGATTGACAAGAGTAAGAAGATTTCAGCAAGATGATGCTCACATTTTCTGTACTGTGGATCAAATTAAAGAGGAAATTTTGGGTGCATTGGATTTTTTGAAACACGTTTATTCTGTTTTTGGATTTACATTCAAGCTTGTTTTGTCAACTAGACCCGAAAAATATTTAGGCGATTTGGAAGTTTGGAATCAAGCTGAAAAAGCTTTGTCTGAAAGTTTGGATATGTTCGGTGAACCGTGGAAGGAAAATCCTGAAGATGGTGCTTTCTATGGTCCAAAAATTGATATCACAATCACCGATGCTTTGAAACGAGCACATCAATGCGCCACTATTCAATTGGATTTCCAAATGCCAATTAGGTTTAATTTATCGTACATCAGGTTAGTGAAATTATTCATAATTTAGAAATAATGAAAAAAAAATACTAAGAAAACATTTTTTTTTATAAATATTAATTATGTTCTTAATGTTTTAGCGAGAGTGGTGAAAAAAAGAGACCAGTCATCATTCATAGAGCAATTTTAGGATCTGTAGAAAGAATGATTGCAATTCTTACCGAATCTTATGCTGGAAAATGGCCATTTTGGCTTTCACCTCGACAAGTAATGGTGATTCCTGTGGGTCCAATGTTTAATGACTATGCAAATATAGTAAAAGAAAAACTTTTGGAAGCCAACTTTATGGCTGAAGTTGATACCGACGATAGTGACACTATGAACAAAAAAGTTCGAAATGCTCAGTTGGCTCAATTTAATTTCATCTTAGGTAAATATTGCACATATTTGTACACGAATATTTTTTTCTTTTATCTTAATTTTAAAAAGAAAATTAAAAAGTATTTTTAAATTTATAACTACTATTAAATAATTTGACAATTATTTTTTTTTTTTTAGTTGTCGGAGAAAAAGAAAAAAATGCCGGCACTGTTAATGTAAGAACGAGGGACAACGTTGTTCATGGTGAAATTTCAATTGAGGATTTAATAAATAAATTCCGCACTTTTAAGGAAACGAAAGATAAAAATTGTGAAAATACTTTCCACAGTTAGATGTTTCTGAATGATCGTAAGACGCATTTAAAAATACTTGTAACAATAATTTATATAATTCCAACATAATATAATAGATATAGGTAAATGTTCAATATTTTGCAACAATGAGTCTAAAAAAAAAAGAAAACTAAAGACTTTGTATTTGATTTTTTTGCAATTTTACAATTTATATCACATTTTTATCTACGTTAATTGCAATTAATAAATTTCGAATTGATTTTGAGCTAGAAACAAACTTGTTTTATTAATTCTCTTTCCTGTTATTACAACTTTTAATTATTTTTTATTTAATTCAAAATAATAATAATATCAATTATTTGGGTTTAATAAAATGTTATTGTTATTATCATGATTTGCAATATCTTTATAATTTTTACAGCACTCTGATTACATTTTTTTTTGTTTTCGTTAAACTGCATGAAGGAATATACAAAAAATCATGAGAAAAAGCTTATTGTTAAATCGTTATAAATGAGTCATGTGTTTATGAGCTCCACTATTAACATCATTGAGTGGAAAAAACTTTTACAAACTTCTATTTGTATTGGTACATTAATACTTTTTTTTTTTTAAATTCATTACTTCACAATATTTCTGACCAGCAATTTGATATTGATATTTTTTCTTTGTTTCTATATATATATACAAAAACTCTTTTAAACAAAAGAAAAAAATGTCCAACAATGAATTAGAGTTCAATCACAAAACGATTTTCTTTTTCTGTTAATTCATATATATCAAAAATTTGATTGCCTATCAGACTCACAATTATTATTAATCTTTACAGATCAAATTTCATACTATTTTTTCGCAAAAATGTTTAAGATTTAAGATACAAAAGTTTTACAAAGAGTTAAATAATATATAACATTATTTCCCTCACAGTTATTATTTGAAACGGCGCACTTAAAACATTTCTAAAATAATTCAGTCATGACAAAAGGATGAAAATGTTTTTAGATTTTCGTTTTTTTGTCTAATTTATCTTAGTCTTGATTAATTTCTTTTTTCATACTGATTTTACAGGAGTACCCAAAGAAAAATTTTAATAGATTTTCAAAATTATATAAATATTTGTGCAAAATCTATGTAGATATAATAATTAATGTGTGTTCTAAAATTGTATTTTAAATATAATTATATATTTTTTTTTTTTGAAGAAAATATATCTATTAAATTTTTCCTTTGGGTTTATTATTAATAATAATACCAGATTGCAATTATGTAAAAAGCCTGAATGTTTAATTGTTGCTACATTTTCTATTATATTTTTTCATAAGGCTCTTAACTTGTAATTTAAGTACAATGGGTCCAGGTTATTCACACACATATATTTTTTTTTTATTGAGATCGTTGTGTTTTTAAATCTATAAAATAGGGAATGACCTCAAAAAAAGGAAACAAAGTATTTTTTTTAAATTTATAGAATCTGCTTCCTTAAATTGAGGAAACCATTGCACTGTATATAATTAAAAGTGAGATACTAAATTGCACGTTTAATGAAACAAAGCTATTCTATAGTTATTTACATTGTAACATCAATAGAAATATATTTTCTAATTTCGTCTATATTTACATATACTTTATATAAAAAAAAAAAATAATAAATATTAATAATTTATTACTACTACAACAAATGAATTAAATGAAAAAATGAAAATAAATTATTCCTCTTTTGAAAAAAATCTTGTTTAAACAAATAAAATAATTTTTTTTTTTGATAAATAAAACTTAATTTACAAATAAAATTAAATAACAATTTACAAGTTCGAAATTTTCTATCATAATAAAAGAAAAGATATCTATTCACTTTCTAATTTTTCAATAATTATAATTGATAGCTTTCTTAATAATTTGAATATTAAAAATATGTACAATGGAAATCCCTATTCTACGAAAATTATTTCTATTTCTCCTTGGACCACAAAGACAAATATTCATATATATATATTTATTATAATTTTGGATTTGTCTTATAATTTCGTGGGTTTACACAAATTATTATTACCAAAAAAATCTCGCGGTTTTGTCACATTTATTTCTATATGTGCAATATTTGTAGATATTTACACGCAACTATATAAAGTCTGTTGCCACAAAACTTTGGTAGATTTCTTAATTTTTTTTTTTTGAATATCTTTATCATTTAAATTATTAAGAATTCTACAAAGTATTCACTTTTTATAGAATATTGTTAATATAATACTATTCTGAGCATAGTTGCCAGGGCTTTATATGGTAATGTAAAGAAAAGAGATTATATTTAAACATTGCTTCGGAAATAAAATTTAAAAAAATGTAAATAAAAATGTAAATCGATAATAAAAAATACAAAAAAAAAATTGATACAAGAAAAGCTCTGGCAGAGTATAAATAAAAAAAAATCGTATCATTTTCCAGATATCATTAAATAATAACAATTCTATACAAAGTGAATATTGGGACAATTATTATATTTAATATTACATTTTTTCCAAATGAGTCTATATAATAATTTTCTATATTTACATTATAATAATTCTAGTAAAACAATCCTTGAGTTGGTCTATTTTTTTCATTTGACATCGACTATACATGGAATAATGTTTCTTAGGAGTCTATTATTATAATATGTATATATAATCTCAAAATCAATTCTTTATTGGCAGCATTTTTTTTATCTCTTCTTCTATATAACAAATAGAAATAAGATATTATGCATTTTGATTACAAGTTCCATTTTGTAAACTCTGGTAAAAGGTTGACTTGCTATCACACTATTATAAAGTTGACTATTTGTGAAAAAATCAAACGCCTTTTTTGCAATTATTTTTTCACTCTATTACTTAAGTATCACTTTAATTATTATTTATTATTGTTTTTCATATTATGTGCTGCTTTTTTCGTTCTTTTATTGTATTTAAAGTGGAAGCATTTTTTTTTTCTGCATTAAAACAGAAAAAGGAAAAAAATCTTGAAAATATATATCCAACTTGCGTCTATACAGATACATAATAATTCAAACAAAAATTACAAATTGAGTTAAATTATTTTCTTTTGTACTATTTTGAACGCAAGTCGAATAGAGGCAGTGTATCATGATTATTCGGTATTAAAAAAAAAAATTAATTAAACTAAATCGCATAAAATTGGAGCAAATTGAGAAAGGAAACAATTTTAAAAAATTGAATTCTGTTTCCTTAGAAATTCTAATTTAATTGTAAATTTTTTCAATTTTAAAATAGACTAGCAGTTTTGAAAATAAAAATAGATTCTTTATTTAAACTAATTGTAAGTGACTTTTAAAATAATTCTAAAGTTAATATAATTGAATTTTTCCAATTATAAAAAGCAATTCTGCACTTTAGTAGACAACTCTTTGTTTAACGCTTTAATTTTCATTTAGCGAATTGTCGTATTATTTTATAAAAACAGCTTTAAAGCTGCTGTCGTGATATATAAATTAAACACGTATCTACTAATTTTGAATATTTCAAAATTTAATTAAGTTTTGAGTTATCTAGTAGAAGCTGCCCTTAAATTTTAACAATATAAACTATACAATTATTAATTTATGTAAATCTCAATGTAGTCTAACTATTTATGGTTATTTAAATTTACATACAGAAATAATTTTTTTTTAATTATTTACAAAATATACTGATTTGACTTGTACAAGAAAAGACTTTTGATTTAGTTGCTGTTTTTTTTTTTAAAAAAAAGGTATTTCGAGAAATTACGATACAACTGATTCCGAGTTAATTGAGATAGAAAAATATAATTAGAATATAATTTTAAAATCGATATTAGAGTAATTTCTCAAAAGTATTTTCTTGACAGAGTTCTCTTTAACTTTCTCTTAAAGTTTCTATCATTCTTTTAAAAAAAAAATTTTTTTTATTTCTATTTTTAGTTAGAAACAAAATGGTAAATATAATCATCCTATAATGATCGTTAATCTAAGAGGAAAATCACTTTAATTTCATTTATATGTTTGAATTAAATAAAAATTCTCATTTTACGGATCATTTAGATAGCATTACTGACCTCTTCTTCAGTGGAGTGCGTCGACACCGCGATGGGTTGTTGTTGTTGATTTTGTAGATTAGTAGAGGCAGTATTAACAGCAACAGGTTTTATAAATTTATCAGTGGCCAATTGTGACGATTCGGTTCTTCGAAGATATGCAGCTTCCTTTTTCGGTGGTACCACTGGTTTATTTGGTGGTACTGGCGGTGGTACTCCACGTGACACTGGCGGTTTCTTAACAGTTAATATTCCTGGTGTTGGAGATGAAGCTGATGTTGCATTTGCATTATACGTTGGAAGTTTTCCTGGTGTTTGAGTTGTAGGAGCAACGATTTTAGTAGCTGCACCACCAGAATTCGCAGGAGCTGGTACAACTGGTCGTTTGTGTAATGCCTGAGGAATTAAGATACACGACAAATCCTTTTTTTTTGTTAACGGAAGTGAAAATATTCTCACTTGTTTCGCGCGACGCAGCAAATTTTATTCATTTTTAATACTTTTTATTTGTTTATTTGTTTATTTGTTTGATCTATTTAGAATCGGTGATGTGCTAAAACCAAAAAGCGGAAAAATAATAATAAAAAGAAAAGCTAAGTGGTGGTGAGTGATAAAAACGGAAAATCATTATTCAAGCCAATACCGAGTTAATCTTGCAGGAAATTCTCAGCATCGTGTTGAACATCTAAATAGTTCCAGAGCTAAAAAAAAACGCTAAATAACCAATTTAATGAATCTGTAAAATTAAATTCCACAGCTAAAAACCAATTATACACAGATCTGTAAAATTAACAGAAGAATAAAGTATAAAAGAAAAGTTTGCCAAATAGATAAATATAACCGCGCCCGCAGTTTAGAAGAAAAATCCAAATTTTTTTTTTTAATTTTGAGAAAAGAGAACTAAACAAAATAGCTTGCTAAAAAAAAGGTGCTTTTTAGGAAAAATAAGCAGGGAAATCTGATGAATAAAGCTCAGAAGTAGGTTGCTTTTTCTTTTAATTAATTAAGGATTCAGTATACATTCTAAATAATAATATTGTGTATACAAATTAAAACGTATGATAAAGTGTTTTATCCTAATAAAAATTGTGTATAAGTGAAAAATGAATTCAAATAATTGTGAAATAGCAAAAAAAAAAAAGTGCTTTTTAAATTATATTTCATTCGAAAAAAACTGGAAATTTTAATTATTCTGATGGAAAGAAGTTTCTTAAAATAATATTTTCATAAATAAGTGATTTATATAACACTTTATACACATTTTAAAAAACATACTCTTTTTACCTTTCAATATGCCTGCATTTAAATACTAAATTTTTGAATGCTAATTAAGATTGATAGATGCTTAGTTCTTGATTTTTTAATTAAGCTTACTTTATGCATTTTAAACAAGATAAAACCTTTAACTATGAAAGGTATACGAGACTAGATAAATTTAAAAGACAGAATCTTTCTATCTGATAGATAGAATTGAATTTTTAAAATTCAATGACTCTCTATTCAAAAATCATAGATACTAACATGGTAAAAATTCTGAAAATTATGTAGTATTTACATAAAAATAAATTATAGAGGAATACCTCTTTAAATAATTAACTCGTGTTTTTACACAATTGTATATTATAAATATGAAAAACTTATTAATCTTAAAAATGAATCTTTGAAATATATTTAAAACAATTTAAACTGTTAAATTTAATATTAACAATTTAAATTTAGTTTAATAATGTTAAATGACTTAAAAACAATTTGATTGTTTAATTTTCATTCTAATAATAATGAAATCAAAATAACACATTAAAAACTTTGGATATGTAAAATTCTAAAAGGAAGTCTAAATAGAATTAGTCTTCTAATAAAGCTAATTATAAAAATCTGAAACTACTTTCATTTAAAAATACTCGTATGAGTATTTTTATAATTAGTATCATGATCGTGATATGTTTCACTTTTACATTAGGAGAAAAAAAAATGTCATAACTAAAAAAAAAGTGCATTTATCACTGTTGTATATGAGTAAAAACAGAGACTTGGTTCAAGGAATCTTTTTTTTTTTCTATGCAAATAGAAAACAATTTCTTGAGCCGTTTTTTGTGTAAAAGAAATTATCTAAAAAAAAAAATCAGTCTTGCAAGTATTTTGCAAAAGAAATTACGATTCACCATTATTGCAAAGCGTAAAAATTGACTGCAAATTGATCTTATCTACCACAAGTAGATTTCAATAGTCGTTAAATTAGCGTAGAGTGTGCTGGATAGTGTGGAAAGGTTACCTGAGCCTCAGTGGTCGGTGGCGTTTCTGTAGTTGATGCTGGATTACTTGGTGTAAATGCCGTTCCTCGTATCGCTTGTCCAGGAGTTACAGATCTGGCTATTCCTGTAGCTAGAAAAATATTTTTTATATATAATTTCAATTTACATACAAAACTGGAATTTCAGTTAAATTATAAATTTATTTAAAAATTTTAAATTAACATAAATATTCGAAATTAAACTTACTGGGTCCACTAACTGGAACACTAGAAACTGTAGCTGTTGGTTGAACAACTTTACTGCTCACCATTGGAGTACCAGTGCCTAAAACGGCTCCTTTAACTAAAAAGAACTTTTTTTAAAAATTTTGAACAGAATAAAATGCAACTTCATTTTTTTGATGATAAAAAGATTAATTGTATTGATGATAAAAAAAAAACTTATTTTAAACAAAGTGATTCAATTTCTATAACTTACTTGTTTGAGGCGCATTAACAGGTTTAAGAGTTGGTAAAGCTGTCAAATTTGCAGGTTTTGCAGGTGGAGGTGGAGGAGTTGCACCCACACCACGAATAGGACCACGTGCCTGTGATTCTTTACCAGTTTCTATTTCCGATTTAAGCTTTTCCAATTCAGCTTCTAGGTCTTTAACTTTTTTCTCTTCTTTTGTCAACCCCTGTCTATATTGTTGTCTCTCGATATCAAATTGTGCTAATTGTTTTTCTAATTCAGCTTCCATTTGTAGTGATTTTTTACTTTCCTCCTCGAGACCCTCGGCCATTGAATCAATACGTACCTTCTCTTCACTTAAAATTTGCGCCAAATCCTCAGATCTTTTTCTTTCTTCAATATATTTCATTATTATCTTCTTTCTTTCGGCAAGCAATAAAAGTACTATTTGCTTCTGTCGACTTTTTTCTTCATCTAATGTGTCATTCAATTTTTTCATATCTTGCTCAATTCGTTTTTTATCCAATTTTTCTAATTCTAATTCTTTTTTTAAACGTGTTCTCTCCTTTTCAAGACCGTAAGTAATATCATCTCCCTGAGCTGTATCGTGCTCGTGTTTTCTCTTTTCCTCTTCCAATTCTTTGATTACCTAAATAAATGACAATTTTTTTAAAATCAAAAACAAAGCATTTAAAAAGAATAACGATTAAAAAACTGTGACAAAAAAATATATTGTTAATTATATGAAAGAATCTAATCTTACTGCTCGATGTCTGATTTCAGCTTCCTTAAGAACTTTAGCCATGCGACACTGCATGCGCCTTTGTTGTGTGATAAGAGCTTCTAAGCTTGCAGTTTGTTGATCAACTTGACTCCCTTGAGGTCCAATTGTTCCACCAACTATAGCTACGTCTCTTGCAAGAGCTGAATGAGGATCAGAAGTACCGCTACGATATCGAGAACTCAATAGGTGTTTCATTTTCTCCGACTAGAGAAAAACAAAAACAAGTTTTAAACTCTCAACTTCTATTATTGATTTTTCTACTTCAAATATACTATATAAATAATATGCGTGTAATTATAATTACTTTTAACGCTGCTATAACAATATCTCGTGCTTGAAGTTCACCTTCTAAATATCCTAATAACTCGACCAAATCTGTTTTGCTCAACTCCATTTTTGGATTACGCTAAAATAAAAACAATTTTGTTACTAATATTTAATCTATGTAGTTATATTATTTCAATAACTTGACATTTTCTCTAATACTACCAAAAAAAAAGATAAAATATCAGTCAGTTCTCTTTTACAAATATATACTGACTATTTTTAAAAATACTAAATAATATGTACATATTTTATTCATCTATAAATAGTATTTGTTATTGTAAACTTTCAAACTTTGTATAAACAAATTATTTATAAAGTATTAAAAAAAAAGTATTGACTATAAAATATAGAATATTTACCACATATATATTGTGCTAAATAATGTTACTTAAAATGTACAAGATACAAATTATTTAAAGAAGCTTACAGCCTCTTTTTAATTAAGGAGCCAATTAATTATTTTGAGTGTAATTTACCTTGAGCGTGTTTGAAGAACTTTTGTCGAGAGGTTCAAAATTATTGCCCCGATTACCATCGCCTAGCTGAGAATTTATGATCGAAGGTGTTTGAGATTTTGACGAAGGTGTCGTCGTCGCAGCAGAAACTCCTGGTGAATTCGCGGCTTGACTTGTAGATGCCATCTTGATTTTAGAAGCAGGTAGATAAACCGAATCCAAAGATTTGTACGTTATCGTACGTACTGAAATTCTTCCCTCGGGGGGGTTGAACACACTCACTATTGTGTATAATCAAGAAATTTTCTCACCTTTCGATATTGAGGTTTTCAACCCATGTGTGACTCCCACGATTTATTTGGCTCCTCAACATTGCGTATGCTATATCAAATTAATACATTTCAAGCTTACTTTGTATTTTTCTTTTCGCATCACTTTGACAAATAAAGTGTATACAACACATAGGAGAAGCAAACAATTTCTTTGCTCTAATCACTATATACTTGGGCAGAAAATTGTCTTTACGAGCAAGAAATAAGATGAAACAGTAATTAACCGACAACGGAGACGACTTTATCAGATACTATTGAATACTACTGCAAAAGTTTATGTATTCTCTTATTCTCTTTAACCAAGTATTGTCGACATTATCGTCGTCCTTGTTGTTTTATTATTATTATTTTTCATAATGGATAATGGTTTTCATTGGTCCAATGAAAATGCAATGGCGTCAAAGCGCTAAATTCAAACATAACACACTTTAATGTTTGTTTAAAAATACGATTAAATAAAAAAATTAATTCTTAGTATGTGTAAAATTAAATATTAAATAATTTTAAAACGTAAAAATATATTAAAACTGTATTTTTTAGTTAAAAAAAATGTTTTAAATCATGAAGAAAACTCCCGTAGTGGCGCCAGCTGTCAAGTTCACAGTGACTCGCAAACATTCTTGTAAATTCATTTCTAACCTCACTTTTTGACTGTTCATTACGTGTGATTGTGACAAATCCAATTTTCTTTTGATAAAATATTGTGCATTTAATTAAAAAATGCCTGAAAGTACCAAAATAGAAGAAAAACAAAAGAAAGAAGTTAAAAATGAAAAAGAAGACGAAAAAAGCGAATTGGTAGGTGTTCAATTTTTTTATAGTTGTAAAGTTGATTGTCTCTTTTTTTCGGCATTGTTTTATCCGTATTTTATTTTTCATTTCCTATATTTATTAATTTTTCCCATGTCCTGTATTTATATTCACTTATACTATGTTATTAATTTAATAGTGTATTGACTGCTACTGAAAAATCAAAGTTTTGAAATTAAATATTTTCAAAATGAAATCAAAACCTCTTTTCGAAAATTTCTACGATACTTTGATATCAAAAGATTGGAATTTAAATGCAGATTTAGTAAAAGTAAAATATTTACAAATATACTAGCTTCATTTTGTTGTCAGTAGATAGGTTATTTTGGTTCACAACCTCTTTCTTTTTTGCTTAGTAATGCTCAATGTTTATGTTTTCTACCTTTATTTTACGAATTTACTGTTAATTTTATTTTTATTATTTAAATAATAATAATAATAATAATAATAATAAATTTCTAAGTATTATTTGACAATAATTTTCAATTAATTAAAAAATCTTTCTATTTTAGTCGGAGGAAGATAAACTACTTCAGGAAGAATTAGGAAATTTAGTTGAACGTCTTCAAGATGCAAACACAAGATTACACTATCCAGCACTTGAGTCACTACAAAATCAAATTCGTGCCTCAACAACTTCAATGACAAGTGTGCCGAAACCATTGAAATTCATGAGACCTCATTATGATACAATGAAATCAATTTATGAAAATATTTCCGATCCAAAAGCAAAAGAATTATGTTCGGATATTATTTCAGTTCTTGCAATGACAATGGGAGAGGGTAGAGAGTGTTTAAAATATCGATTATTTGGATCAGCACAATCAATTAGCGAATGGGGACATGAATATGTTCGACATTTATCTGGTGAATTAGCCGGTGAATGGGATGAACTTACAGGCGAGAATAAAGAAGATGTTAGCAAGAAATTAATAGCCCTTGTACATGAAATTGTTCCCTATAATATGGCTCACAATGCTGAAACTGAGGCTTGCGATTTATTAATGGAAATTGAAAAATTAGATTTTCTTGAACAATATGTTGATGAAAGTGCATATCAACGTGTTTGTCTTTATCTTACAAGTTGCGTTCCTTATGTTGCCGATCCTGAAAATAGTACTCTTTTACATGCAGCAGCTAAACTTTACAGAAAATTTGGCCAATATCCACAAGCTGTGAGATTAGCGATGCAACTCAATGATTTGCCATTAATTGAAGAGATTTTTACAACTTGTGAAGATTTGTAAGTTTCATTTATTTCTTTTCTTTTTAGAATTCTGGTTGAAAATCTTTCTAATTATCAAAATATTATCTTCAGAAAAGATTTTGATTTAATTTTTAATTATTAAACTATAAAAATTGGTATAAAATTGACATTGAACATATATTTCAGATCGATACAGAAACAATTGGCATTTATGCTTGGTCGTCAACAGATTTTCCTCAACTTACCGGAATCGACAATTGAATTTGACGATCTTGTGGAAATTATGTCCAATTCTCATTTGAACAATCATTTTTTGAATCTTGCTCGCGAATTGGATATAATGGAGCCAAAAACACCGGAAGATGTTTACAAATCACATTTGGAAAATTCAAGACCACAATTTGGCGGTGGTCAAGTTGACTCAGCGAGACAGAATTTGGCTGCAAGTTTTGTGAATGGATTTGTAAATGCAGCTTTCGGTCAAGATAAACTTCTAGTCGAGGATGGTAATAAATGGCTCTATAAAAATAAGGAACATGGAATGCTGAGTGCAACAGCATCGCTTGGTCTCGTACTCTTGTGGGATGTTGACGGTGGTTTGACACCTATCGATAAATATCTTTATTCCTCGGAAGATTACATTAAATCAGGAGCTCTTTTAGCTTGTGGAATTGTTAATTGTGGTGTTAGAAATGAATGTGATCCTGCATTGGCTCTTTTATCGGATTATGTACTTCATAACAGTAATACAATGAGAATCGGCGCTATTGTCGGTTTGGGACTAGCTTACGCTGGATCAAATCGAGAGGCAGTATTAAATTTGCTTACACCTGTTTTAAGTGATCCAAAATCAAGTTGGGAAGTCATTGGAGTCGCTGGTCTTGCCCTTGGAATGGTTGCTGTTGGCTCTTGCAATGCTTATGTCACTACTTCAATAATGCACACTTTGATGGAAAAGAGTGAAACCGATCTGAAGGATACTTATGCAAGATTTTTACCCTTGGGCTTAGGTTAGTTTTAACATTAAATTTTTATCTTTATATATTTTTAATTACATTTTAATTTTTATCTTTCAGGTTTGTGCTTTTTGGGTAAACAAGAGGCAGCAGAGGCGATAATCGCAGCTTTGGAAGTTGTGCCCGAACCTTTTAAGTCCATGTCAACGACACTTGTGGAAGTTTGCGCTTACGCTGGAACAGGAAATGTATTGAAAATTCAACATTTATTACACATTTGTTCCGAGCATTATGAACCTGTGAATGAAAAGGAGGAGAAAGGTGATCGCAAGGATAAGGAAAAGAAAGAGGAAAAAAAGGAGGAAAAAGAAAAAGATCTAAGTTCACGTCAAGCAATTGCTGTACTTGGAATTGCTTTAATTGCAATGGGTGAAGAAATTGGCGCTGAAATGGCGTACAGAACCTTTGGACATCTTTTAAGATATTGTGAACCCGTAATTCGACGATCTGTACCTTTAGCACTTGGTCTTATATCGGTATCAAATCCAAAACTCAATATTTTGGATACTTTATCGAAATTCTCACACGACAGTGATCCTGAAGTGGCTCATAATGCAATTTTTGCAATGGGACTTGTTGGAGCTGGTACAAATAATGCTAGATTAGCTGCAATGCTAAGACAACTTGCACAATTTCACGCTAAGGATCCTAATAATTTATTCATGGTACGAATTGCTCAGGGTCTTACTCATCTTGGAAAAGGAACACTTACCTTGTCGCCGTATCATAGTGACAGACAATTGTTGAGTCCAGTTGCCTTGGCTGGATTATTGGCTACCTTGATTGGATTCCTCGATGTCAAAAATAGTAAGTACCAATAAAAAATGAACTTAAAAATAATAATTAATTTAATAAAAAAATGTTTGTATCTTTCTTTCAGTTATTCTTGGAAGATCACATTATCTTTTGTACACGCTGGCAGCAGCGATGCAACCAAGAATGTTGGTAACATTCGACGAAGAATTGAATCCACTTGCAGTTCCAGTGCGAGTTGGTCTTGCCGTTGATGTTGTTGGTCAAGCTGGCAAGCCAAAAACAATCACTGGTTTCCAGACACACACAACTCCCGTTCTTTTAGCATACGGTGAGAGAGCTGAATTAGCAACTGAAGAATATGTTCCATTAACGCCAATAATGGAAGGATTTGTCATTCTAAGAAAAAATCCTGACTTCGTCCCTTAGGTTGTAAATTAACATTTATAATTTTACGCGTTTTTATGTATCTCATATTTCATTAATAATAAAATTACCTGTCTTTGGCTCTGTACAATAGATACGAAAAATATCTATATCTATTGTATCCGAGAAAAAACAGATTAAAAATTAATTTTGAAATTTTATTTCACATTTTCTATAAAAGTCGGAAATTTATGATAAATATTAAAAATAATTTACTGTAAAAAAAACTTTTATTTTTAACATTTTACGGTTTTACATAATTTTTCACTTAAATAATAATAGAAAATGTATAAAAAAGATAGTTCTATGTGCAACGTTATAAATGGCAGGTAACGGCAAGATTTTCGTTATAAAAATTTGTTTTTCTTTTAATATTCACTGGATTTCGATTTTCGCAAATCAAATTTTTCTGCTTCTATATTCACTGGCATTAACAAAATATTCTTTTTTTTTTAATAATTTCTACATATCGAGAAACTTAAATATACTTTCACTACTCACGTCTTTCTACAACAAAAATACTTTTAAAATCATTCATACGTCTACATTATTATCATTTTTCTAATACATAATCAATTAACATACATTCATATATATGTTTGCGCTATTCATTATTAAAATACTTTGTTGCTGTCAAAAGCTTTAATACTTTTTTTTTAACATTTGTCCACAAACACAACAGAAGAATATTCAAAAATTATCTTATAATCATTTCAAGAAACATTATAAATCCAATTTTACACATTCATTTCAAAATATGATTAAATTTGCCAAAAATTTATTACACTACTTGCCTCGAAAAATTTGAGACCTATATATTGCTTTCAAAATTTAATACATAAAAAATATCAAGATTTTAAATCGGCGTTTTTTTCTGTTTAATTTTTTTTTTTTGAGCAATTTTGATACTCTACATATGTACCCACATTTTACTATATTTTATGTTAAATATCAGTCTGTGAACTATTTGTCGTAAAGACATATTATTTCTTTGTTAATAAATTGTCTTAATTGATACGTATAAATGCATTAAAAAAAAAAGTCTTCATCAGTTAAATCGTAAACACGATTGTCGATTTGAACAATAATTATTGTAAAAATTGGCACTTTCAAGAAAAAATGGAACATACCACCTGTTTGTACTTTAAATATTTATCTCACTCGAAAAATAAATAACGCTAAAATCAATTCATGTGTGCTGAGCACCTTTCTCGTTATACAAAAAACAATGTACATGAATTTAAAAAAAAAAAGACATGGGTACTTTGTACAAAAAGTTTACAAAGTTTTTCTTTGAATTTTTTCTTATTGCCACTTTTCTTTAAAAGTTTTGTAAAAATACGTTCAGTAAAGAATGTGCATATCATATTGTTATAAAAATAGAAAACAGATATTGAGTCAATGATCTCTCAAGTAAAAATATTCATGAAAATATTTCTCGATTAAAAACAGTTATGAAAAATGGAACATTTTTTTTTTCTTTTCTAATTGGATTTAAATTTCTAACATCACAACTAATTGTAAAGTTTAAATATTATATTAAAAATATATAATATATTTAATATTATTTAAAAAAGTTAAATAATCGTAAATATGTGATATTAGAAATTTAATTCCAATAATTCTATATATAATATTTATATATCTCTAATTTTGTTAAGCAATGCTAACAAAAATTTGCTTCCATGTGTCGATGAACAGTAACGGGAGCTAACACATGATGCGGTGATCCTAAATGCGTCATTGGTGATGGTGGACGACTATTTTGTTTCACTAAATCTGATTCCGTATTTCCGCCAACAATTAACAGAGGCTCAACAAATGTTTGTTGTTCAGAGTCATCGTGTGGTGTCATTGTACTATAGCCATGATCGCTATCACCGCCAGGTGGTCTTCGATAATTTGTCGAAACTCTGTATGGCGAAATTGGTGCAATACCTTCACGTAAAAGAGAATCAAGATTATTTTTCATTTGATCCATTTCCATGGGTTCAGGATCGCCTTCATGATTTGTCATTCTCAATGTATCTGGCGATGTATGAAGATGTAGACACTGATGCTCCAAACCAGATTGAACCGATCGTAATCTATAGCAAAAGAGACTTATTCCTAGAATTAAAACAAAGGCAAGAATTCCACCTGCAACGGGACCCACTGAGGGCCATTCTCGAGCCACAATTTCCTCCGTTGATTGAGTTTCTGAAAAAAAAGGAAAAAAAAAAAATATTTAAAATTAAATTTACCGTAAATTAAATAATTAATTTACTCACTGTAACTTCCATCTCCGTAAGGGACTAAGGAACCAAAAATCCCTCTAAAGCAAAGAGACAAATCCGAACAAAATGGAGCCTGAAGGGGAGTTTCTCCATCGCTGTCGTAATGGCACCATTGACAATTAACAATTCCCAAACATTCGTTTTCAGTCTGATAATCCTTACAATTAAAAGATGGACACGATTTTAATGGTACTGATTGTGTCCAAAATAATTGTGAACTAATTCCTTGTTCGTAAGGCGCTGGACATGGTTCCAAAACGCTGAAATTTTGTTGACCACATGACGCTGAATAAAGTGAGCACTCACAAGGACATTCACATTCCGTTTGTTCCATTCGTTTACAATTAAAACACAATCTATCCATCTGTAAATATTTCAATAATATAATTTTATTTAATTACAATTAAAAAAATATTTAATTTCTTACCGTACTACACGGGCAAAAGGAGAATGATCTATGTAAATTGCATGTTGCATTTACAACTCCAAGGAAGACATTAGTTCCAGGAACAGCGGCGACTTGATACTTAATACAATGCTCACCATGAACGATATTAGTTAAAACTTCCTCCAATGAAGTATTAAATTGATAATATCGTTGCACTGTACCATCCAAATAACTGGCGCATGATTTTTTACGAACAAAAAATTCATGATTAAGTATATCGTTCGCTACTAATAATTCTTTGTGCGTTAAATGTTGTTGTTCAATTTTACTTGTTGGATCGAGCATTGATGGATGAAAAACCAAATAACCTTTGTCATCCATCAAAAAACATTTGACAGTTGAATCATTACAAAATGAAAACATATCACGAAGAATTCTTGAGAAATAACCCAAAGTAATGTCCATTGAAACAACAGCAATAACAGGATCATTATTCGAATGTAATGCTGCTGAACGACCTTCATAAACCGTGTGACTTAAAGTTATCACATAACCAGAACCACCAGCATCTAAATAAGGCGATGTCAAAACTATTTTGCCTGGATATTCAAGTGCTTTTCCATACCATGCTCGTCTTTTTGGATCCAATTCAGAATCGAGAACAATGCCTGGATAAATCTCCATTGCTCCACTTGCAGCAGCAACAACATATCTTCGAACGATGAATTTATTTAAAGAACTTGTATTGTGTCGAATTTTAAAATGATTGAGAATTTGTGCAAAAGTTCCAATATCGGGTTTAACTGAAGAATGTAAACCTGGATTTGCAAGTAGTCTCGTTAAATCTTTAATATAGGCCATGTAACTTTGAACTGTTACAGCTGATCCAGTTTCCAGTAATTTAAGTTGCTCTGTTGGTGATTGAAAACACCATGGTGAAAGATAAACAACTCCAGTTGAGAGTGTGGAAATTCTATTGTGATTCAAGCAAAATATATCTTTGCTAATGGCAGATTGTAGCATTAGATCAAGACGATGATGCAAAATATTTGATGGCAAAGGTGGCACTGTTTTTGCTACTGGTAGAAAATCATCTTTATTCTCCGATATTACACATGCTATTAAATCTTTATAAATAAGATGTTTCCAATGAATTTGTTTTTTTACTCCCAATTTTGTTTCAATTATTTTAAAACCTTCCGATTCTTTTAAAAGTATTTGAATTGTTTCCGAATCAATATTCTCAATATTGTGCAAATAAACTTTTAAAGGTTGTTCCGCTATCATTTCCATTCGAGGAAAATTCTTATGCATCCAAACTATTTCATTATTATCAAAAAGTATTGCATGAGTATTTGGTCCAGCATTAAAGTAAGTTACATCTTCAAGAAAGTCTTTTAATTTGATGTCAAGCGATAATACAGCAACATTTGTTATTTGTCCAACAGACAACATCATTCCTTTGGTGTAAGGTTCAAAATAAGGATCTGATAAATAATAATCTTTTCTTTCGTCACTTGAACATTTTAATCCAACAAACAATTTAGCTATTTCATAGCCCAAAACATTTTGCGTTGGTAATGTAATTGTATCCTCGGAAATATTTTTGATATTTGTATGTGGTTGAGTGTCTGTTCAAAATTTAAAATGTATAAAAATTAATTTAAAACATTTTTAATTGATAAATGATAGTAAAAAAAAGAAATAATTAATAAAAACTTTACCCGATAGAATCAATATTGTTCTTAAATATGCGGTTAATTTTTGTGAATAGATTTCTTCAGTAATGTTTTTCAAATTTGTTGTATTTTTTAGCATATTTGTCACGTGGATAATGACAACCTCTCCAGTCAAATTTCCCGTTAGGGATTTGAAATCAACATCCAAAGTTTGGTTTGAATCTGAAAAATTGCGAATTTTTTTTATGTTCTTTAAAATACTTTGATGATTAAATTATTATTTGAATATGTGTAAATTTTTTGTTACCAGTTCGAGTGATGGTGTCTACATGTCGTGTTAAATGAAATTTATTGACGTCATTTGCCTTCACTAAACCATTTTTGCAATGCACGGATCCTCGTCCAGCTAATCCGACAACAGTAACATAATCCGTTTCTGACAGCATGTCAATAACTGTTTTTGCAGTTATTTGAGCTAAAGTAACATCACCCTCTGACATAAACATTCCATGTTCCAAAAGTAAAATAACATGTTTTGATCTATTACATTGAGATAAAAATAAAGGACCGATATTATGAGCTAAACTTGGTGGACCACACATTGTTCCAGGTTGACTAACTGGCAAAATGTGTAAATTCTTCCATTCTTGATCTCTTAAATTAGAAGACAGTGCTGAAAATTTAAAATATATATTTAAAATTATCAAAATAATAAAAATTAACATAAAAATTGTTTATAAAACTTACCAGTCGAAATTTGTGAACAAATATCAAATTTTTCATCAATGGAAACTCGATTACGTGCAAAATTTAATTGAAAAGCTTGATTTTGTTGATTATTTGAACTGTGTTTCAGTAAAATTTGTTGAATAACACTATTACTTTGTCGTAATAATTCAACGTAAGATTTAATCTGATTATCCAATTTATCTACCAAATTTTTTAATTTAACATCCGGACCATTTGAAATATTAACAAATTCTTGTTTATCGAGCATTTCTTGAAAAATTGTTACTCCTAGTTCATCATTACTAATTGTTCTAAGAGCTTTTGCAAATTGAACAACAATATCTCGCAAACATCTTCCATTTAAGGGTTCAGCCTCAATTTGCTTTCGCAGAGGCTTTTCCAATTGACAGGTCACATTTTCAATATTTTCCTCAGTTTTAACAACATTTAATAGTAGATAAATTAATCCTAAATATAATAATATTCTGACAGCCATAATTTTCCGGTTTTTCTAAAGTATTTTTTATTCTTTTTTATATAAAATTCTCATAGTGGCGTCCAATTTTATAATTACCAATTATAGAACTGTATAAAAAAAAGTGCGAAATTTCACAAAATCTTATTTCAGAAACATTTTTAAACAAATTAAATTAAGAATAACTTAATTAAACTCAACAAATGAGTTTTCACCGCTCACATAAACTTTTCCGTAAACAAAAAACGTCAAAAACGCGATTTGGAATGTGGTTATGTGTAACTCAAGGTTTTTTTACGTAAAGCACGTATTTTATTTACAAATGAGTTTACGCTTACAGAAAGAGAAGGACAACGCATCTACTTACGTACCTCTTTCTCTCTTTTCTCAAAGCGTTGCATACGTATGTATTGACCTTAATAGTAAAGTGACCGCACCCTGTCATAAATAGTATCAATGTTAGCCACCATGGCGCTGATGGCCTTTAGTAATTTTGAATCGTTTCAAAAATTTGTATTTCGTTTGTTGTGTTAGTGCAAAATTGTTTAACGTATTTATTTAACACAAAACTTTGTTAAAAATAAATATAATAGATGTATAATACTTTTTATTATGCCCAAAAAATATAAATTGCTAAAATTATGCATAAATACTATAGAAATTTTTTAAATTTTGCCATTGAACATCAGCGCCGCGTATTAACCGTTATTAACATTTTGTATTGTGTTCGTTATCTCGTAAATGAGTATATTGTATATGTATACATAATTCATGTGCATAGTGTTAGTGTCAAGTGTCTGAAAATCGTTGTGATTATGCAAAAACTCATCGGAAAATGAAAAATAATAGTGCTATTAACATTAATAACGTTTTGTTCAAAATGTGTTGGTTTTTTATAGTTTTTGTGAGTGAAAAAGGATGATCGCAATAAATCAACCCCCCCACCTTCGAATCATGATCTGATGGCGGGCAACTTCGGTGAGTTTGGTTTCAGTTTATTATTTTTTAATATTTGTCTTTAAACAACATTAATCATTACATAATATGAATAATAATCGAAGGTAGTACCTTTTATTTTAATTTTTTGATACTTTCAATTCATGATATGTCGATTTATTTCTCTGTGAAGAACATAACGAATTTTGCAAAAAGTGAGGTTATGTTCGTATATGAATGAAGCATGGGAAGATGAAAATCGTGCATATTATATTAATTACAAAATGTAAAGAATGATTAAATAATTTAATATTGGTTTCTAAATTTCTGTAATATGAATTTAGAAATTCTAATGCAATTGCAATATGTTTGCATCAAGAAATTTCATCAGCAAAACATTTCTTTGATATTTAAGCAATAAAAATTTATTTAGACCAACAAGTTTTATTGTATACAAATATATGAGATAAATTTTTTGTTGTCCAAACAAAATAATGGAATATGTAAATAATAGTTTAGAATTAATATTGTCGTTTTTGTATTTAATTCGTTTTGAAGCAATTTTAGCATTTTTTAAAAAAATTAATTGTCGAAAAAATAATTAGTTTAGAGGATGCAATTTTATTTTAGAAATTTAATTCATTGTTTGATAGAATAGGATAAGGAAAATTTATTTTCTATAGTCTAAATTGAGTTATTGTAGGCAATAAAATATGCATTTGTCTTCATGGCATATTAAACCTTTGGTAATTAATTGATAGGAGTTAGAATTTATGATAGTTTCAAATCATAATCGTTTTTAAATCTACAATCTGTAATAATTTATTGATTATTATTTTAGTTTATGGTAACTTCAATTGATATCAATTTCTTCAATACGTTTAAAGTGATATTTAAAAAAAGAATTTTTTTTATGCCTGATATGCTTGACATTTTTTTAAATCAGTAAAATATTACTTTTATCACATGCGGGTTTGTTAGTTTTTGTCTTGAATATTTTAACATTATTTTAAATGAAAACAAAAAAAAAATATTACTGAAATGTGTATTCATTCGTAGTGTTGCAAATTTAAAAATATAAAGTTTTTATTCAAAATTCTTTTTTATTTAAAAAAAAACATTGTCATTATACAATATTATAAAATGAATATAAAATTTTTTTATTTTTACTTAAACTATTTTTCTTTGTTATTTTATGTGAGTTTTGCTAGATCAGTTTTCTTTGTATTTTGTGTCGAGAAAGGAGAACAGTATAAACCAAGCAGGAATTTCAGGGATATGAGTTGTCGGATTTTCTCTGGGCTTACAAATGACTCACACTGACTTCAGTGTGTGCTACGTGAGAAAAGATACGTGGGCTGATACAGTGCCGTACACTAAAAGAGTTTTAAGATTAAAAATTTTCACTATTAGTATTATAAATTATTCCATGCATAATAATAATTTTTTTTAAAATTATTACAAAGTTTCTAAAAAAATTGCAAATTATATTTTTCATATTTTTTCTTGTCTAAATAAAATAACAAGAACTTTATTTGCTAACATATTGATTCTTTGGACACAATTTTTCAAATATAAAAGTTATTTTAAAAATAATTAAATACTTATTATTGTTCAGTTATTATTAAATGAAAAATTAAAATAAACTTAAATTGTTATTTATTCTACAAAACTTTCTAAAAGTCAATAAAACTTTACAAGTTTAGAAATTGTTATATAATATTTATATAATTAAAGTTCTTTTGCCTTCTTAAATATTCTTTTTAGAATTTAATAATATTCTAAATTTGTTCTAATTGTAGAGATTTTCTTTTGATAAATATAAAAAAAAAAAAAAAAAAAAAAACAAATACTTACAAATAAGCAAGAAAGTATATGAATATAAAATGTGAAAATTTTTAACAAGAAAATCTTATATTAGGCCTGGTATAGTAATTTTGATAATACAAGGATAGAAATTTATACCCACGTATATTATACATATGTTAAATAAATTCAGCAACGTTGTTCCGTGGGTTTTCAGTGTGGGTGTACTAGGAGCATATAAATGAACCGTATATAAAACGTCAACGTTCCCAACCTGAAAATAACCTCTAGAAATTGATCGGGTTGCTTTTTATTGATCGTGTCTGATGTATATAGAAACAGCGCTATCGCGATGTTTATATGCTTTTAACTTATCGTATGACGATAAACTTTGTTCCTTTTTACCTGTAAGTTATCATTTTTAATAAAAAAAAAAAAATTCATATTAATTTATAAAAAAAAATAATTCATTTATTTTTCATAAAAATTATTCTAAAATTAATATTAATAATAATAAAATTTTTTTTCTTTTTTCAAATAAAATATTTTCAAAAATTTAAATTTAAAAAGTAAACATTTTTGCCGAACGAACGTGCGAGTCATTCAACAAAGTATTAAGTTCATTTACATCTTAACGGCATTCATTACCCACTTGACCGAGACTTATAAGATTATCGCAGTCAAGGTGATAAAATAATGAAAAAAAAAAAAGTTTACTTAAAATAGCAAAAATTAAAATATAAGGTAAAATTTTAACTGACTTAAGTAGGTTTTTTTTTCTCCTCCAAAGAAATAATTGAATTTAAATATTTTTAAAATAGAAAAACTAGTAAAATTCACATAAAAAAAAAACATAGATAATTGTCTTTTTAAATGATTTTCAAATGTTTTTAAATTATTAAGCGAAAGAAAAGCCACGTGTAAAAAAAAAAGGAACAAAAAATACTTCCATCATCCAATGTTACAAGGTCATATTTGGATTCATGGGTATCTTGGGACTAGACACGTTCTTTTGAATACAAATTGATTCAAATTAACCGTTTTTTGTATAAAACAGACAATATTTTTATTTTTTTCTAATTCACTTTTTTTTCACTTATATATATACACTTGAATTATTTTTTGAATACAATATTTATAAAATTATTAATATTATTATTTTGTAAATAGTAAATGCTTAATTATTTGAATGATACATAATTTATTATTTTTTTTTTAAATTAGTTAAATTAAATTTTAAAATAATATTAATGAAAATAAGGACTTTTACAAGAAATTTTAATTGACTTACGAGTGTCAATAAGTAACACCTATTTGTCTGTTTTTCATTTGAACGAGTACGCAAACTACAAATGTATATACGCATGTAACAAAGTTTAATTATGAAAGTGTTCAGAAATCCGCCAGTTGCTAACGTCATTCTCTGACGCAGACTCTATATAGTTTTATAGCTCTTGTTTTCCAACGGATATAAGTGTTTTGATCACGGTTTTTTTTTTGTATTATATATCCAGGTCCCTAAAAGTGATTCATCATTTTCTATCTTGTGGATAGATTTATTTTAAATTTACACCATAATATTATACAAAATTCTACTAATTATTTTTTAGTAAAATCAGTAAAAAAAATTAATAATTTTCTTTGTATTAGAGAATATTTTCTTTAAGAAATATTTTAAATATAAAATAGCTTACGGAGGTAGTTACAATCGATGTTAGTTATAGTTTCTATAGAAGTTTTATTCAATATTGGTATATATATATGGAATCGATATGGTTTTTTTAAACAAATATATTTGTAATTTTAATCGATGATTATAATAATAGTTAGAATAATCGAATATTATTGAATCAATTTTATTTTCAATGATAACAATGAAGATGATGGATAGTAGCTCCAATTATTAATAGTAGTTGATATCTATAAAATATGTTATTAAAATTATTAATAAAATAATATATTTTACAGTCAAAATCCAAATTTTATAATATTTCCCATAAAATTTGGTTAATTTTACCATTTTTTGCTTTATTTTTAAATGTCTATAATGGCAGTGTGAAATTTTTCAATCTAAAGAAGGAAAAAATCGTTATTTTATATCTACAATTGAGATGAAGATATATTTTTAAATAAAAGATAAAGTAGATTTTCTAAAGTTAAGGAAGTGCTGCCACGTAACGTCATTTTGATATCGATAATAAACCTTTGCTCTGCCGGTAAACTCAAATTTTATATATATATATATATATATATATCTATATATTTCTCTTCCTTCGATGATTCGAATTCTCATACGAAAATAAACAGAAACAGCCTGATGTTTACGGTAGACTGTAACAGGTGTTCCTCAACTTTTGGAGGGGGATTCACAGGTGGCTGAAATCTTGATGCCGGCATCACACATGGTTAGGTTAGGACAAAATGAAAACATTTGATTTTAACTTCAATATACCATCATTGCGCACAATGCATGCTCCAAGAGCTGTGTGTTGTTGGCTCTAACTGCATAATATAAATTTCAAATTGAATCATCTCTTTTGCGAGTCAGGTTTATCTTTTTTTTTTTTTTTTAAATGTTTCTAAAAACATTATTTCTGTTAAACAATTATTTTTCTTTTAAAATATTATTAATAATAAAAATTAATATTTCATTTTTGTAATATGAGAAAAGGGTTGAAGAAACTTTGATGGCCAAAAGCCTCTGGGAAAAGAGTCCTTTGTCCGTACAAAACACCTGCAGGAGTCAGGCTAATTGAACAGGTGCTTGAAATGTAGGAAAATGAACGTATCTCTTGTAAATGACGACGTATAAATTTAATATCACGAGGTTATTTTTAAATTAATTGATATATAAAGTAGAATTCTCTTAGGAAATAGACAAAAATTTAAATTATTCGCAAAATATTTTTTTTCTATTAATTCTTAATATGTTATCCATTTTTAGTTATTTTTGTCCCGTTTCTTATAAAATTGGAACATCAATATTTTACGTAGAGATTATTTTTTCCTTGTTTTTAACTTTTTCTTCATTGTCCTAAAAATGAAATTAATTTTTTTTATTTCCTAGTTGTTGGAAATAGACAAAATTATATTCTCTTGGCATATTTTTGTACGAATTGGGATCAGTACCGTTTCCTGGGCAACTTTTGCGTCATTCGCTTTATCATTGTGAGGAAAATATATATATATATATATATACAGTCATCCTGTGTGGCCTATACCTTTATGGACAGGTTCGAAAATAAGCTGGTAGAGGGCAGAATGTGTATAGTTTGTTGGTATTTCGAGGTAAAAGAGAGGAGTGACGTAAGGAATATAAACCACCATAAAAGTCTCTTGGTTCATTAGCGAGAGAAGTTGCAAACCTTCGAGCTCAGAACGTCAAAGTTTTACAAGCTGTATGAGCCTCATCATCCTCTCGGGGCTCAAAAACCCTCTGGTGTATGATTGCACTGCCTTATGCTGTGCTGGAAATATAACATTCAAGAGATTTCTCTCTCTCTCTTCGAGAGGCTAACACTGTTGCCAGATTTCAAAAAATTTATTCTCAAAATTTAAACTTGAAATAATTTTCAAATATATATATATATATATTTATTTACATTTTTCTTTGAAATAAAATTAATAGAAATTAATACAACTTACTGTAAATAAATATTATAATTTTCCTCGTATAATAAATACTTATTTATTGATGAGATTTCTATTCGAATTTTCCCATTATCGCGAATTCGATATGACAAAAAAAAAAAAAAAAAACTAAGAGAATTATTCCCGCGGTAATTATATAGAATTATTTGAATAAATGAAAATGAGGAAATATTAAGACACAAATTTTTGGACCCCTCGAGCAAGATAAGGCTTCCCTGCGGTTGCCGGAGGTTACCGAGATAAGAGGCCTAGTGCAGCATCATCCATGCTTTTAATTGCCAGAGTTTGATTACGCACACTGTGTTGGTTCTTTAAACGAGGGAATATTCAGGATCTCTGCATTAATTAAGTGCAAAATCGAATGTGTGGGAAAATAAATTCTTTATAAAAAATATAAATATAATAATTGTTAGCATATAAAGGAAGATACTTATGATTCTAATTTAGGATATCATAAACATTGAATTAAAAAAGAGAATTGATAAAAATTGTTTAAAAAAAAAACTAAGATTCATTTTTCTTCTTTGACCCATTTGAATATTTTGCATAATAATATTATTTATATCGATAGTTGTAATTAATGCAAGGGTTATAATTATTTATATATATAGTAAAGATTTTATGTCTCTTTATAGAATTTTAAAAATTATTTTTAACAAAAGAATCACGTTTTTGTGCAGCGCACATTATTATCATGATGATGATGATGATGCACAAGCTTATTGTGTTTATACAGTCATCGTGACAAAAAAGAAAAAGCATTTCTGGGTTTCCTTTATAAAAATTCTACTTTAGAGTTTGGTTCTAATAAATCTCTTTTTTATATATTATATTTTTATTCTATTTCAATTTTTCTTATTTCGTAATTTTTTATTATATCGGTCTAATATTTTTTTTTTTCATTCATCTCGTGTCAATTTTCACAGGTTATAAAATAATGATTTATAATAATAATATTATATTAGAGGGAAGTTAAATAGATTTGCGTCGATGACAGTTGTTGTTGCTTTGCAATGTTAGAACTTGGTCCAATGACTGTTCATTCGGCAACACGCCAATATTCTACATCAACTCGCTGAATTGGATTGGATTAGCTGGGCAGCAATTAGACGTAATTAAGTTCAATATTCCAAATTCAGAGTAAAATCAACCTTCGATAAATCGATGACATTTCCTCTTGGTCACGAAAAATATAGATTAAACTATTTAAAATTTTCATGAAGTGCAAAGTTCATTCTTCACTTTTCTATAATAATTAATATATTTTTTTTATTTTAATTCATATGACAATTTTTTATATTTCCCTTTTATTTATTTTAATTTTGCTTCTTTGTAAAAAAACTTTTGATTCTAGTAAAATTCATTTCTAAAAAATGAATTTATTACATCATTGTAAACATTTATTTTTTCCCGCGAAAATAATCATGCTGCTTTATTATTTTTTTTTTAATGCAAGTCATGGTGTCTTCAGTTTAGTAATATTTCTCTTATCTTTTCTTTTTAAAAGAAGGACATACCACACACACACACACACAAAATTACGTATTCCCTCTCTGTTACGTCATTGAGTCGTAAGACTAGTAAGCAACTCCCGCCTGCAACTTTCATTCATCTCTAAATCTGAATTTGTAATTATATTATCTTTGAATATATATTGTCCCGCATTTATCATGACCTAAGAAAAACTGATTACTTTTATTTTGCATAAATTATATGAAAATTCTATTTCTTTTTTCCTAAGAAAAGTTTTTTTTTTATTGACGTTAATATAAAAAAAAAAACTATTTCAAAGAAAATTTTAGATAATTTTTAAAGGAATTTATTTCTTGCTTTTTTTTTTAATATAAAAAATACATTTATAAGGAAAACTTCAACTTTCGAATATATGAATGCATATCACGAACCGTACAAGGGCTTCTTAAGAAGTGATGAGTGAAGCTCAGTGCCACGTGAATAGCAAACCTCAGCAGAGAGGACTCACATTTTCTTCTAGAGTTGCAAATCGGTTACTAAATCTGATTGTGCAAGGAAAACATTAAGTTTAAAAAAAAACCACGCGTTAATTTCTAATTTTTTTAATATGCAAATTTTGCGGGGGATTTTAAAAATCACCTTAAAAAAATTTTTTTTTTTTTTTTGTCACAAAGATTAAAACCAATGTACATACCGTTTCTGGGTACTATCGTATCACATTTCTTATCTTATCACCTCCGAATGGGCAAACTGTATAGTGAATATGACTATGTAAACGTTGCTCCAGGGATGAGATAAGATTTCATCGTGCGACCAATAAGAATCTACTTGAAATCCTATAGTCCTCCTACTATCAGAGTAGGACAAATGAGAAATACAAGTAGGGAACTTGATCTTGTATAATAATCATTGCTATTGACAACAAATATCGATTTTTTTTTTTGCAACACGGAAATAAATTATTTTTATTTTTTTAACAATAAAACTTATTTCAAAATAGTTGATGAATATTCTCAAATCGTTGTACATATATATATGTATAAAAATCTATAGAATTTAAAACTAAAATTTTATTAATGAAAACTGTTATTTTAATTATATTTATATTTTTAGACGATCTTGAAAAGAATTATTGGTTATTCAAAAGTAAATGAAATAAAATAATCGATATTAAATTTCCGATTATTAATATATAATAAACTGATAAAAATATATTTTAATATAATACTAAAAAAATATAAATAGAGAGAAATATTATTATTTAAAGATCAATTTTTTTTGAATAAATTTACTTTTCCGTGAGAAATATAAATTTTTGATTATTAATTTCATGTCAGCTGAAAATGATTTTGTTCTTCCTATAGAATTTCTCAATTAATTAATATTGAAATATATAGAAACTCCAATTAACCGATACGGTTACTAGAATATTCGTAATGAAACATTTAAAAATCTATAGTATCTGGATCTGTTTATATATATGTATAGATATTGTACAACCACAGTCAAGTTTTCATTTATAGAATATCGATTATCCGAGATATAT